AAAGTGGGTGAAGGGAGACGTCAGACAGGGCAAGATATGACAAAATAATAATTTATAAACTATCAAGGGCTCATGAGGGAGGGAAAAATGAGGACCTAATGCCAGGGGCTTTAGTGGAGAGGAAATGTTTTGAGAATGATGAGGGCAATGAATGTACAAATGCACTTTACACAATTGATGTACGTATGGATTGTGATGAGTTGTATGAGCCCTAATAAAATGATTGAAAAAAATAAAATAAAATAAAATAATAATTAAAAATATAATTAAAAAAATAAAAACAAATCTTCAAAACTGAAAAAAAACAAAAACCACCGGTGCTTTCTTTGTAAGATATTCTGCAAGCATTCCTAGCGTTTCCAACCATTTCCATCTATACACGTACCCAAGAACACACTACACCGCCACTGTGTCTGGGCAGGCACCCAGTGGGGCCCTTCGCTGTGCGGACGCGGGTGAGACCCGCTGGTCCCTGGTTTACAGCGAGAGACACAAGACACCGCCCCAGGAGCAGCGATTGCATCTCGAAGTCACAGCACCTTAACCGGAAACAGAATTAAGTTCCGGCTGCGGCACCTCAACCTGTGTTCCAGCACTGTGCGCTGCCTTCTAGGCGGTTAACACGTCATGTGGCATCGGCCTGCCCTCAAGAAATGTTCTCCACTGCAGCTCTGAATTGCATGCCGGGCGCATGGGGCACAGGCATCACGTCTCTAAAAGCCAGGAAAGCTCCCCACAGTTTGTATCGTCAAGCTCCCTGTTACTGCACAGAACACCGCGCAGGCCACCTGGCCACGCAGGGGTCAGATGAACTCCGCCTCAATTGGCTTGCTTCCCTTCCAAGCTCGTTTTCGATGCCTTGGCGCCTCTGATATCGCCCCTGGAGCACAGCGTCCTGCCCTAGTGTGCCCCTAGCTCATTTACCCCCTCCCACCCAGGCTAGCAGGCCCAGCTCAAAACTAACCTGCTCTCTAAAGGCTTTTGAGAGAGCCTCTCCGAGTAGGACATCCACCCCTACATGCCCCCAGGGCACCCCTGCTCCCATGGAGCCTTGCATGGATTCTGGAGCACTTCCTGTCCTGCAGAGTGTAGCGGCCTTCTCATCTCCCCTGTGACGTGTTACCCTCTGTGAGCCTGGGGCTCCCCCTCCCTGCACGGAGCTCAGCACCCCGGAAGGACTCAAACAGTGGCTACATAGATGGAAACATAGAAAAGAAAATGTCCTACAGTCAATTGGATTGTCCAATTCTCCTTGCTATGGTTGAACGGTGGCATTTGTATGATGTGTGGATGGAATGCCAACGGAACTGTTAAAAAGAAACCTGTAAGAGTGTTTACCGGGCTGACACCAAGGGCTCAAGTAGAACATGTTTGGGAAATGATGATGGCAACATATGTGCAAATATGCTTGATACGATTGATGTCTGGAATGTTATAAGTGCTGTAAGAGCCCCAATAAAATGACTAAAAAGGAAAAGAAAAGACTGTTTACCGGAGGCAGTGATTTATCAGAAGCACGGTGAGACGCAGCTAAGGACTTTGGGAGGGGAGATAGGAGGAACCATTGGGGGGGGTGAAGATGGTCCTAGAAGCCAATGCCGACGAGCCGCCACGTGCTCCAGGCTTCCTTTTTAGTTACCACACAGTGTGGGGAACAAGGTTGTGCAAACTTTTTGCAGAACATTAATCAGGAGGTTCTCAGTTGGAATCAGTGTCAACAGCAACTCCCCCTTTCTGCCGTTGGGGCCACGCTCTGATACCTACAGTGAGCTGCACATTGGGCTGTTTCCCCAGAAGCACCATGTCGCCAGGCAACCCAAAGGACTTGGCTTGGTAAGTGAGGTAGCCACCGTAAGAGGACACCTGAAAGGAGATGCGAACGGCAGCGTTAGAGAAGGCCACGGGCGCTGAGGTGCACCTGGCCATGCCAATTCGGGCACGATGCACCCAGGCCATCAGCTGGCCAGTCCCTTCTAGGGAGGAGGAGATGGCCCTGCACTGTTATAATTTATGCTACTTTGCATCATTTGTAGCGCTTTTTAGCAGGGGTGAGATTAAGCAAGGAGCGACTTCTCATAAAAAGAAAAAGAGTCTTGATATTAAAAGAAATAAGATGATTTTTCTCCAGTGTGAATACTAAACCAAAATGATTTAATATTGCTCATCTCTTTCAGACAGATAATGAAACCCAGAAAAAATATTTTAGAAATTCCCCCGACAGTAGATGTTTGCATGATTATGAATTCCACTGGGCACGGAAACTACGCTGACTACTCTCTCCAGGGCCCCGACTTTCCACCAAGGGTGTGGCAGATGAAGTCTTAGTTTTCTGGTGGCAATTGCATTGCTGGCCTCTGGTAGTTACATAATCTGTTGTCAATTTGAGGCTTAAGAGTGAAGGGGTGGAGTTTAGCCTGTGGACCAGATTGCAGCTTGATGACCTCATTTGGAGGCACTAAGGAGATAAATAGCTTGTTGGAGGGGGGACACGGCTCACTCCCTGGGAGACATTGCAGCGGACAAGACACATGGAACTGCCCTAGTGCCCTGAGCTAGAGGAGCCACGTGAAGACCCCTGCCAGTGCTGAGATGCTTACAACGCCACTGGATCCACAGGCTTCCCACCCACTGGCCTGTGATCTTCCTGCGTTCGGCATCATTGCATGTGTTCCGTGAGTCTGATGAGGAATTCATAGATTGGTATCGGACATATGGGCTAATATCAGACTTAAGGACTTGATTTGGATTGGGCTGGGATGGTTTCTCAATATTCAATTCCTCTTGTATCTAAAGCTCTTTCTTATACACATGAGTGGCTATGAATTTGTTTCTCTAGTCTATCCAGACTAACACATGGTCCTAATACCTCCTACCCTTAAAGCAAAGCTAATGGAGAAAGGAGGGGTGGCTGCGGGAGGGTAGAAAGGGGGCCCAGACATTCCGAGGCAGCATCCCCTCGGAGGAGGCGAGGCGGGGCTTGTGATTCTGTGACCCTGGGCCCAGGCCTGGTGCTCGTTTACTGCGTGAACCAGTTACGCTGCAGCTGTTGGCTTTCCTGGCACGGCATCTTTCTTCTGCTTTTAAACAAAGGCTTCTCAACAGTGGCATTTAAAAGTGAGATCTACTCCATCGGTAACGGGTATTATTTAAACAGTTATTTCTCCAGGAGGAAAAGTCTGGACCATTGAGTAAAAATAGAAACAAAAACAGAGGGAAAGGTTGTAAGGTGGCTTTGTTTGCTGCTGGACCCTAAGGTGCTGACTCGGTGCAAACTTGGCTCCTCGTGCCTGAAGGGCGGCCTGCCTCTTCTTTACTTGTACCCAGTAACCCGGGGCCATGGCGTCAGCTCGGATGCACATGGCGACCCCCTCTGTTAGTGGCCTATTTTGTCGGAAGTAGATCTACCAGGCCTTTCTTCCCAGGCACCTCTGGGTAGACTCAGCGCTCCAACTCTTTGGTTAGCAGCTGCGCATGTTACCCAGGCTCCATTTTATTCACCCGACTTTCTCAATGTTCCCTCCCAAACCCCCGTAAGTGATGCAATGGTGCCAAAGACCCTCAGGAGACTCAGAAGGGCAGATGTCAGTACCTTGTCCCCCAGGTATGAGGGCGGAGCGACCCAGAACACACTGAGAATGGCTGCAGGCAGCTCCTGGATGTCTGCGACCACACTGTTGCTGTGCGGGTTGAACGAGGTGGGGATGGCCAGGTGATCGGCAGTCTCCAGACGCCAGCCCATCATGTCCACAAACTGCAACACAAGAGCCAGGGAGGGAGACGGGGTCAGGGCTGAAGCAGCGTCACAGGAAAGACATGCAGAAGCTACTCTACTTGTGAAGGCTGCCTGCCAGTGTCTGCTCGTGAGCTTCCCCTTGGACCCCTGATAGAGTCCCCACCCCACCACTGCCGCCCAGCCTCATCTGAGTTCTCAGAGGGTGCTGAACACCTGCCTCTGTGATCTGCCCTGGCGTCCCAGCACACAGCTGGGTGCTTGGGATCTACTAGGTGTTCCATAAATGTTAGAATAACAAGTAAATTAACTGTCCAAATAATACGGAGAACCATCACAACATCATCACGTGTGCTCCGTATAGAGAAAGGGTTGCTGAGGAAACGTACCGGCGGTGTTTGTGTTTTTAAATGGAGCACTGTTACTGCAGTATTTCATTTCCCTGATTGCAAAGGAAACCAGGAGTTAAAGATGAGATAGGAAAAAAGTAGAAATTGACAAGGCTCGGGGTTAGGAATGGGCGGCATAGTGGAATGCAAGTTTAGGCTGCTAAGCACAAAATCAGCAGTTCAAAGCCACCAGCTGCTCCTTGGGAGAAAGATGAGGCTTTCTACTCCCATAAGGATTTCATCTTGGAAAGCCACTGTGGTCAGTTATGCTCTGTCCTATAGGGTCGTATGGGTCAGAATCAACTGATGGCAGTGTTTTTTAGAGAGAGGGGAGGTTGGAGGGAAGCCTTCAGAATAGATATACAAACTAATTGTTTTTCCAATCAAGGACCTGTAATCTTTTGAAGAGACAGACAGTGAGTTATGTGTGTGAGTGTACCTGTATACAATCTTTTTGGATCCTTGTTGCACAGAAGACATTACTTATTACCCCAACAGAGGCGTCTTGAATTACTGGATCATGGAACACACTAGCCAACGCTTTAGTTCCATCAGGGAGTTAATGAAAACGTGGGCAACAGAAATGTGTGGCAACATGGATTAGAGGAAGAGTGAAAAAGGAAAACAAGAAGGAGAACAGAGGTGAGCTGTGCCGGTGGGGCGGGGAGCAACAAGCCCATGGTCTCTTGTGTGCTGTTGTGCTGAGTCGGTTGTGATCGTGGCGACCGTCATAGAATGTCCTGTCCCCTGGGCCAGTGCCATCCTCACCATCTTGGCTTCCCTGCATCCTTTGTTGCAGCCCATGTGTCCACTGAGAGTCAGAATTAACTCGATAGCAGTGGGTTCCTTAAGCTCCCAAGTATTTATTGAGCACCTACTATGTCCCAGACCCTATTCTAGCACTTCGAATGCGTGCTTGTGGTGGGAGAATACATTTCAAAACTAAATGTAGACTCCATCAGCGAGTGAGCCATGCTATTGGGACACCCAGCAGTGAGAGCCTAGAAAGTGACCGGCATGGGCTACTCTATTGGGAGTGGGACAGGGAGGTCCCTCTGAGCACGAGACATTTGAGAAGAAGTGTGGGGCGTCTGTGGAAGGGATGCTGCCAGCTGAGAGGGCAGCCAGGACAAGGCTCACCACCATTAAATATTCACACAACGCTTCAAGTTTCATGCTAATCCATTTCCCCCTCGACCTAAAGTCCTAACTAAATGCAAACAGAGACATCCATCCCCCCCCCCACATACCTTAGTCCTTCGCTTATGCGTACTGCTACAGCTGGTGTTTGCTCCAGAGCAAAAGCAGCGGGTGCAACCCTTGGGGTTGGCTGGGTCCAAATGAAACGAACCGTGTCGACACACATTGCAGCCTGTGCCTTCCACATGTTCCTGTTGACACGGAGGGGGAAACAAGAGGCCATTCCTTCTGGTGGCTCCCTGATTGTAATTAGCTACGTAGACCTAAGTGCCAGGCCAACACATGATGTCAGCACGTAGCTGCTAGTCACGCATTAAAGGGCATGTCGCTCGGCCAATTGTGCCAACTGCTTGTTTAACTTTCATATCACACACAGATGGAGGCAAGCATTCCCTCAATTCTGGAAAACATCCCTTGACATTTTGAAGCTATCTTGATGCACCAGATGGATTTGCAAGATGGAGAAACTAACTAATCCCACTTACCACCTGAAATCAACTGCTGGGAGTGGAAGCTCTCCCATCACAGCAACACCTCCAGAGGACAGATCATGAACTTGTGTCCGGAAATGGGTTTCAGGGAACCTGTAAGTCTGTATACATTAGAGACCAATGTCTATACTTGTCCTCAGAGTCTCAGAGGGTGCTATAGTTTCCGAAGGATGGGGGTGGGTGGGGAGGGTCTTCCTGACTAACCATTCCTACCCAATAAGACAGTGATTATCAAATGGCATTGCCCACGTATTTGTATATGTTGACTCAGGGTGAAGATCATCCATACTGGTGGCAGCTGATGCCCTGGCCTTGGCATGCCTGGCCTTCACTCGGTTCACCTTACCTTGCAAAGGCACGCTGCAGTCTCGGGGTCACAGACTCCTGGCTTTGTCCCCTTTTTGTTGCAACTGCAGGGGAGACACTCGGGGAAGTGGTAGAACCCAGCACTGCATCGGTCACACTGTCGGCCCGTGATTCTGGGCTTGCATCTACACCCGAACAAAAGCAAGAAAAGTCCCCATCAGCTTTCTACAAACAGCTCTGAAGTATCCCCCCCCCCCCGCCCCCCATGGAGTTGCTACACAAACCCAGCTGAGTAGACACAGAGCCTGCCCATGGGTGCTTAGTGGAGAGGGGAGTGGCACAAGCACAGAAAATGCTCTCACGTACACCAACTGCCATCTCGATGACTGTCACCAACAGGGACTCACCTGTGCCAGGTGTGGAGTTAGCCAGGGATGGACACACTACCACCTGAGAAGCTCCCATAGACACAAAAGCGTGAAATGGGAACGTGACAATGTCCCAAAAGGCTATCACCAGCCCCTGAGGGGTAGCAGCTCAGCCAGCTCAGAAAGCCATGGAGGCTCCCAAATTAGATGCCACTTGAACAGTCTTAAGGAGCAAGCACAGGGTCCGTGGTGGGGAGAGGCCAAGCATCCCAGCCCGCAGCAGCAGAGGGAGAAACAGCAGATGTGCACAGAAAGCACATGCGCTGTCCCCACTGTGGCGGGTGACCGACAGGGTGTGCTGACGAATGGGCCTGCGGGGCAGGGCAGGGAGGGCTGACACTTCCTGCGGGCAGCAAGCGAGCTGTTGAGAGCCGACCACAGAAGACAGACCAACTAGAGTCCCAGCCCCACACCGACATAACGTCAGCTAGGCTATTCTGGCAAGTTCTTCGGCGCCTCAAACCTTAGTGTTATCATCTGTGAGAGAGGGAAACGGAGCTGCCCCGCCTGGGGGTGGGGTGAAGATGGATGAGGCCGTGTCTGCAAACGGATGAGCACAGCACCGGGTTCATCCAGGCCCCATGCCCCACCCCTCGTTATCATGGTGCCAAGTTTTCCGAGGGAGCTGCAGCACAGGTGGACATGTGTGAAGAACTGCCTCAGGGAGACTAGGCAGGCTGTGCAGTCAGGAGAGAGATGAGGGGGGTGAATGAAGGAACGGTCGTTGGATGAAGAGTCGCCATGGGCTCCAAACCTATTTGGGGAACTGTGGGTTTCTGGACGAGGAGACAAGATAGAGACAAAGCAAGGAAGGGCGACTCCCTATTGTCTAGCTTTGAGGGAGCGAGTAGATAGTGTGGAAAACTAAGACTAACGGTGGAAAGTAGGGGTGGGGTGAGAGACAACAGGGGTGGGCCATCATGGAGAAGACAGACTGGCAAGTGCATGAGGTTCAAGGAAAGTTCTAGAGAAGCTATGAGTCTTCAGCTCATAGGTGCAACTGATGATCAAAAGTGGCCCAGTCCCCTCAGACACTGCTGGTGGATCTGCAAAACAGAGCAACCACCGGGGACAGTGGTACAGCACATCCTCCAAAAGTTGGGCATATGACCCAGCAATCGCTCTACCCTAGAGAAGTAAGAGACACAACGGGAGGAGAGATAGACACACCGTGTTCATCACAGCACACAACAGCAGTGAACACCCAACCGCCCAAAGATGGGAACAACCGAACGACCAGCAGCGAATGAACGGGTAGATGCATGTTGGTGCCGACATGGAGTAGAACACTCGGCACAGCCCTAAACAAGAAGAATGACTCTCCAGAGCACGTCCCAACACGGTGGACTGGAGGACATGATGTAAAGCTGGTGACCTTGATGTAAAAGCCACCTGATTCACAATCATCATCATAATCAAAGAATTCCGGTAGTATCGAGAGGGGATAAACGCGGGTACAGGGAATCAAAATAAAGAGCAATAGGAAGAAGGAAAGAGGTGGGGACAAAAGAGGTACTTTGGTGGCAACAGAGGAGAATGCCCGCCTGAGGGAGTGGCGGGGTCCAGGCCTGGGGGGTGAGGACAGGCAGGCAGCTGTACCCACTTTATCCTTTTACTTCACCGGAAGCTAAAGGAACGTGGGTGTGCTGCCTGGAGGGTGCTGTGGAGGCTGTTTGTGCTGGTGAAGATCAGAAGCAAAATCAACTTGTCTGCCTTCTGGTTTCAGGACACCCGTGTGAGCTGATGCAGAGGGAAGAGCAAAACCAAGGCAGTGATGTAAGATAAAGCTCTGGGCCTCAGCAGGTAAGAGGCAACCCAGAGCCTGAGAGGAGATGAGACCAAGCAAAATGCTGAGCAGAGTAAGGAGAACTGAGCCTGGGCAGACGATGCTGGGCTGATAGGTGAGAACCAAACCACGAAGAGGAACACCTAAGGAATTGAGGACACGATTGTATAGATCTTGTGCCCGTCAAGCAACAGAAGACATTTTGAGTGGTACCATGACAACCAGGAATACAATGAACCTTCCTTTTCAAAGTCCGATCGAACATCTTTGTAAATTACCGAGCTGAAATCAGCCTGACCCTAGTATAAACTTCTCCAGGAAAATTGTGCTCCCCAGGGTCCTACCCCCTCTGCCCTCCAAAGCTGCCTGTAGATCCCACCTGGGGGTGCAGGTCAGGTGAAGTCATCCCCAAGGAGATGGGCACTTGGCCAAATCCTACCTCATAATGTTCAGATGGGAATCAGAGCGGGTGTGGGCACTCTCACCATGCTCAGGGGGGCTAAGATGAACTCTGCCCACCAGTCATTAAACACTGGGAATCCCTTAATATTCCACTCATACCACACTCCAATTTTAACCCAGAATCCAAATTCTAACCATTCATTCACTCATGCATTCAATAATTGCAGAATGCTTCCCTGTGTGTTTTACCACAATATATCGATCCCAATCCCAATTGCTTCTCCAGGAACCTCACTGATAACTATGGCGTTTTGATTTGCCACCTACCATACAATTGTAACATTTTTCCTTGACCCCTAGTGTCCTTTCTAAAGTTCTGTGTATCTGCAAACCCTTGGATACCATTATAATCTATACCAGTGGTCTCCTCCTTCTGGATGATATGCCTTTGCCTTTGTCTTCCCCTTGTACCATTTAACACTCTGGTCAATATTCCTTTTTTTAAAAAAATGGTCCCAGCCAAAGTAAAAGGGAAAAAAAAGTGCTAGAGGAGAAAGCTGGGGAAAAAAATAAAGGAGATGTAATTAGGGTAGGTAAAGACCACAAGAAGTTCATCATTATCTTGTTGGTAATGGGGAACTGAAATAAGTGTTTGAATTAAGGGGGGGAAAGATAGAATGGCTGCCGTCAGAGACCTGGGCCACATAATGACGGTCACCATCGGTCCTGCTATTATTGATGATGGCAGGTTCCCCCTTCAGACCATGACCTCTTATGACAAGGTATTGTGTCTTCCCCAGAAGACACAGCCCCCAGACAGGAGTAGATGTTACATATAGTTGGAGGGATCAGACATATTGGTATCTAACAAAATAGGATTTAAAACCACAATAGTTTCACAAGAATTGAGAGGAATGCCAGCCAGGTTTTATATATATATATATATATATATATATATATATTATTATATTCATAAACACATACCTCTTCATATTAGGGACAAAATTGTGGGCAAGATAGGTTTCTAAATCAGTATAGTTTCAGACTTCGCATGTTCCTCCCAGATTACAGAGGAACCCAGGTGTGTTCTGAGCTGCTAAGCACAAGGCCGGTGATGTGAACCCACCGGTTACTCGGGGGAGGAAGATGAGGCTGGGTGCTCTGATAAAGATATGAAGTCTTGGAAGCCCCAGGGGCCACCATGAGTCAGAATCAACTTGACGGCAGTGAGTTTGGTTTGGTTTCATTTTCTTTCAGGAGAAAAGAAAGAGAGAGAAAAGGGAGAGGGGAAGAGGCAAAAGGGAGGGAAGAGGGAAGCAAGGCAAAAGAAGGCCAACTAGAAAAATGTACATCGCATACAAACATACGGTGGCCAAAAGACGTAGCCAGGATGGTGGCCAGTAGCACAGAGCAACGGAAAAGAAATGAGACAGAACTGGACACCTGATGGCTGTAGTGGTAAAGATTTGATTCTAAATGATATTTAGATTTCGAGCTTTGAGGAATGAGAGAAGACTGTCACCATTACTTAGAAGTGTAAAAGAAAAATCCTAAAGGGGAAATATCATGAAAGACAAGTCAATAATATGGGTTTCAAATATGTGCAAGATCTAAGTCAAAGAATTTGAAGTTCTGAAAGGGCCCTTCAAGAACCGATCCTTTATCATCCACATAAAGAGCCAGGCATGCAAAGAGTTTCGGTCCATCTAAGTAGAGACTTCAAGAGAACTCAGGTCAAATGGATGCGTGCTGTAGGTGAGATGAGGCGGTCAAGTGATAGATCTGGGAGAGGGGGTGTTAAAACCAGGAGAATGGCTGGAACTTTAAAAGGGATGAAGTCGAGAGGGAGGCAGAGAGGCAAGGACTTGTCAAATGTTGTTGGGTGCCATTGAGTGCCTGCTGACTTATCGTGACCAGGTGTGCCATCACCTGAAACAGCCTGCGCTCTGCACTCGCCTCCAAACACTGCTAGGTTTGACCCGTCACTGCAGCCACCTGTCCCTCGCCTCATTGAAGGTCATCTCCTTTTTCACTGGCCCTTCATTGTTCCAAGCATTATATTCATCTTCACTTCCTGGTCCTTTCTAATAACATATTGAAAGTAAATCAGAGATAGGCTCTTGATCTTCCCTTCTCAGGAGCACTAGGGCTGTACCCATTAGACAATTCATTTGTTATACTCAAATAATTATAATAGCTAACTTAATGAATAATAATAGCAAATACTTGCTGGGTGCTTAGTGTGTGTCAGGTACTGTTTTAAGAGGTTTTGCATGAAATATTTAATCCTTTGAAGAACCTTCTGAGGTAGGTGTCATCATTACCTTTTATTTTAAAGATGAAAAAATAAGTCACAAGGAAAATAATGTGTGTAAGATTACCCCTCTAATAAGAGGCACCAGTAAGATACAAACTCATACAAGGGAATAATATTATATCTACTTCCAGGTTGGGGTAGACACAAGTAACCATGGCAGAGACAAGGCATGCAGAGAAAAGAGAAGATGAAGGAGGAACGTGTACAGTGTAGGAAAATCTCTGCACTCCATCTATGTGGGAAGGGCCTGCTCCACCCTGCTCACACGTGCCAGCACCTGGCATGCCAGGGGTAGGTACTATTCCCACTATTCAGCGAGGTGCATCGATGAAATTGCTTCTCCAAGTTACAAAGGCTTGTGGATTGATGCCTAGCTGGAAGCACCTCTTATCTGTGAATGCCAAGTCTGTGACAGTGCTGGTGTCTTAGTCTCCATCCCACAAAAACATATGCTACAAATGTGGGAGTTGGCTGAGATAGGGGCCATCCGTAAAAAGGCTTCCTTTTGCTATTGCCTTTCTGAGTCCCCCTAGGAAAAGGGACCTTGGACACATGATTTCACTGGCTGTCCAGGGATCAGATACCTCTTTTAATCAGTCTTAAAATAGATTGAAAGTCATCGACATAATCATAGTTTTTAAAAGCAATGAAAGGGATTCTAAGCGTCCTTGTATTTATCATTGCTTCCTAAAAATTTATGAGCATATTCTAGCCCTTTTATTTAAAGAATCTGATTATATAAATCTCTCATTGTCAAAAGAAAGTATGGAAATAATCTTAAGTAATAGTCTTCTTATTTTTTGTCAGGTATGACTTAATGTATTTCATTCGTATTTTAAAACTATTTCTTATCATCTAGTTTTGTGAACCTCTTTTTATTGTTCTTATTTAAGTATTCACTGTATGAAATAATAAATGACCTTTTGGTAAAAAAAAAGTGTTTTTTCCTGCTGCCAATCACACTCAGTCTAGGCTCCTGGCTGGAGAAGGAGGCAGGCTGGGCTGACTCAGCGAGGACTCATGCACACCTGGAAGGTTTCATGACTAAAGTTTCCTCTCAGCTTCTTTGACGAGGGCCTACCAGCAACAAGGAGGTGCTGGGAACCAGACAACAATGAAAGGTGTGGTTAAGGGTTCTTCCTTGGGACAGGCAAATATGTACGCCCTCAAGTCACCATCCACTGGATGGCAGTGAGCTGATGCCCTCAAGGCGGAGGTCCTCCACCTGCCACCAGCAACTCCAGTCCCTTTCAGCCCCCACACCCCCATCGCCAGCCCTAGACCCTGGAGCAGCCATGGGCCCGGAAGATGTGTGGAAGGGATTTTTAGTGAGTAGGGTGGTTGGTGAACCTTATGCTTTCCCCTGCAGATTACCATCATGGCCAGGATGCTATATACCCTGGCTGGGGTTTCCTCCCATATAATTCTTGTAATTCTTCTTCTTTTTAAAAAAAAAATCATTTTATTGGGGGCTCGTACAACTCTTATCACAATCCATCCATCCATCCATTGTGTCAAGCACATTTGTAATTCTTGTAATTCTTACTAGCCTCTCTTTCTGGGAGACTGAGCCCTATCCTTTGTCCCCTCCAATGGTGCTGATTCAACTGGTCACTTGGAGTCATGAGACTTTGGCCACTATCATTCAGTGCCACTGTCCACCCCAGCTATGGGCGCCACACCCAGTCCATTAGACACAGAGCATCTGCTTGAGCCTCTCGTGATGTGTCCTCCTCTAGTAGCTGTTGTGACATGAAGGGCTCAGGGGTGCCTCTGAAGGCCACCCCACCTCAGGTCAGTCTCTCTCGGGCTGTCTGGACTGCCCCACTTCCCTCCCCAGTTGGCACTCCTCAGTCACGGCGGCAGGTCCTGGGTGGCAGGCTCCACAGAACTGTGAGGTGACACTAGAAGGAAGGTGTTGAAGGCGTGCCTGAAGCAAAGTGGGTAAAGAGCACCACAGGTTAACAGAAACTAAGAAGTGGCTGCTGTGGCAGAAGCGGATCATTGAGTGATGTGTAAATCTGTGCTTTTGCCCTACAAGGTGGCTGGAGACAAGCTGATCACCTAGGCACTACCTGGTTCCTCATTCCCCACCCTTGAAGCCTGATGGGACCAATCACCCCACATACCCATAATCCACCCTGGCTAGGACGCTCTGTCCTCAACAGCCACAAAGCTAAGTTCTTGAGGTAAACACAGTGTACTCCTAACGCCTCACCAAATCAGTCACCTGAGCTTACCTGCACTGCCCAGTGTCCCTGTCGCACGCTGCGTCCATGGCACCCTTCCAAGAGCAGTTGCAGGAATCATCACCAGGCAGGGGGTGAAATTTGAAGGGATGCAGCTCATACACCTTGCACTGGGGCCTGACCGCGTGGGGTGGGCAGAGGCATGTTCCCGTGGTCTCCTCACAGAGGCGCTGGCCACAGTTGCACCCTGGCGGGGACAAAGAACACAGAGAAAAGATCAGATGCCACCTAACTCTAATGACAGCACTAATGACCAGGACAGCACTAATGACCAGGAGCTCGAGGAACTTCTGAGAAGGCTGGGGAAAGACCTTGCTTTCCCGTCACTAGGAGTGTTTTCTGTGTCAACCTGGCTCAGCTATGGAGACCTAGTGACTGGTCAAACACTGGTCTCCATGTTACTGCGGCATTTGTCACATGTGATTAAAAACATAAGCTTCTTGATTTCAAGGAAACCATATTATCCTCCAAAATGTGGATGGGCTCAACCAAGCTGTTGAAATCCTTCAGGGAAAATCCAAGGTTTCCCAAGAGGACTCTGCCTCCAGATTGCAAGCAGGCATCCTACTAGAATCCCCAGCCCACCGCTGGGCCTGATCCAGGACTGCCTGTGGCCCCAGCCTGGTGTCCAAGCTATGGATGCTGGACTGAACCCTTCCTACTATCACGTGACTTCATTTCTGAAAATAAATCCATTTCAGTCTAGATAGAGATGTGTGCATGTGTGTGTGTGTCTCAAAATGTTCATGGATAAACTCCATTGTCTTTCAATCCCATCTTCCGTAAGTTTTTCAAAATCCTCTTATAGATAGTATGTACATATCTCCTATTGTCCTTGCAAGATGCTCTGGTGGCAGAGAGAGTTAAGCATTGGGCTGCTAATCACGATGAGAGATGAGACTTTCTGCCTCTATAAAGATTTACAGCCTTGGAAACCCCCAGGTGACAGTGCCACTCAGTCTTAGAGGGTTTCCATGAGTCAGCATTGCCTTGATGGCAGTGCGTTTGAGTTTTGATAGTTTACAGAGATACCAAACTCACTATCATGAGTCAATGCTGACTCATCTCGACTCCCTGTGGGTTTCTGAACCTGTAACTATTTACAGGAGTAGAAAATTCAGTCTTTCTCCTCCTGAGCTGCTGGTGGTTTTGAACTGCTGACCATGCAGATCACAAGTATACCACCAGAGCTCTTATCTATCTATCTATCTATCTATCTATCTATCTATCTATCTATCTATCTATCTATCTATCTATCATCTATCCATCCATCCATCCATCCAGCTATGGTACTGTTTCTCTGGAGAAGCCAAGACAGGCATTATTGTCAGGGGTTGATCTGTAAAACCGATGACTACAGGTCAGGACCCAGCAGCTCCTGGTGGCTGTTGAATGAAGCTCAGTAGACCAATGGGCTCTGAGACAGACACTCAAAGGAACCCACCCAGGTTCCGTTGAAACAAGGGGCCTTCTGTTCCTCAGAAGGTCCTGTATGAAAGGAAGCAAATGGGCTCCTCAGGGTCCTGATGTGGTTCCTCATGCCCTGAACCTGCAGCCTCAGTGTCCAGGCTGGGATCAGGCCAGAGACCAGGGTTCTGTTCGCACCAGCCCTGCTCTCCTCAGTGCGCCCCTCAGTGTGTGGGAGGCTCACTGCAGGCAGCAAGGCCCGGGATACAGCATGGCTCTGCCACGCAGGGCCCAGCCCGCAGGACAGTTCCTGCAGGTGGAGGGCTTCTCATCCAGGGACGAGTTTGATGAGCATCGCTGCGTTTCCTGTCAGCTGAGCCTCGCTTGAATCACAGGGAATGAAGGGCTTCCACTCACTAGGAAGGTGCCTGCGCCATCCAAAAGTGTGACATTTTAGCCTATTTCTACTCACCCACTTTGTCAAGCACAAGAGTCACACGGAGCAGGAAACACAAATGTGTCCCTTCTAGAAAGTGTGGTTCTTGTGAGAGGTAGCCAGAGCAGCGATAAGGCGGGAGAGGGGTGCCTCCCCCGACGCCTGCCCAGCGAAAAGCAGCTGGCCAGGCCGCATAAATGGTTGCAGGAAAGTCAGCCTCCCATGGACACCTATGGGAAACTCCAAACCTGGGCCCCACACAATACTAGGCACCAGCGACGTGACGTCACACAGGTGCGCCTGAACATAGCCATGAACACTGAGGATGCACAGACAAAGGCCACCTAGGGGCAGATGAAGGTCAACGTTCACAGGTCAACATCACAGGGGCACCTGACAATGCATGATAAAAAGTAGTACGAGTGAGCAAACCAACATGTCAATATCTTTTTGTTATGATTTAGAAAGGCATCTTGGACATGGAATTATTAATCCACCTTTGAGTGGTCTCCATCAAGGTTGGCTAGGTTGGTGGAAGCAGGACGTGCAAGGGGAGGATGTGTGCAAGTCTGTGCCTGTCTGTGCAGCTGTATGATACCCATCGCTGGATGTGTGCATCTCTTGGCCGTACTATAGAAATACATTAAATTCAGGGGAAGCACCTGGGTAATATTTTAATAGTTTACAATTGGTTCATTCTCTTAGAAGCTCGATACTTAATGTCCTCTTGCTTTCTGTTTCATTTTAAATTGAGCAGGAAGGGAAGGAAGTATTTTCATTGTAACTCTGCCCATAGCCTTATCTAGAGGCCCATTAACCATCTTTGTTTTTTATGAAATTTTTTTCTCCTCCACAGGGTATTTTTTTTTTGTTTCTTGTTCTGATTGAGTCAGCAGATTATATTCTTGCCTGTGAAAATATGCTTGGCTTTGAGACATTGAATTGGAAAACATTCATGATGTGTGAAAAAAATGCATGAATTCATACTGTGTGACCTCAACCACCTAAAATCATCTGCCAGTCATTTGTAGACATGCACAGGGTGTGGAAAGACAGATCAAACTGTATCAAATCAGCAAAATGATTCTGGATGCCTTTTGTGTTCTTTGCTTTTTGCCCTTTGCTTTCCAGTTTTTCATCATGCACAAAAAAAGCTTGAAGTGAAAAAAAAGTGATTTTAAAAACTTGTATGGAGTCCCCATTGCCTATGAATAAAGTTAGCTTGCTGACACCTCAACAAATAAGAAGAATAAGATCAGCCAGTACCCTCAACTATGCCCCCTCGAGTCACGCAGGATGGGGATAAGGCTGGGCCTGGGCGGAGGTTGCTCTCTGGGAATTTTGCCCTCCAGGGATGTCCTGCTCTGGGTCCCCACCCCTCTCGGCTTCGGGCTCCTGTGCCGGTATCCCTTCTACGTGTTGTCCGCACTCCCCTGCAGTGGTGGTCTTCAGTTGAGAACTGTCACCAGTCCCCACTTTTCAGAGATAGCGTGTACTTTTGAAGGCTGTAATACCTGAAACTTCCCTTGCCCTCAGGAAAGTTAGCTGGATTTCTAAAAGTGCTTCTGCTGCGTGACTTCATTCAGCGCTGGGAAGCAAGAACCGAGGTCCCTAACACGTGGACGCCCAGCATGAATAAATAGCTAGAAATCCCGAATCTCACCAGCCCCTCTCCCCGTGTTGGCTGACTCGGAATCTACGGGTCTGCAGGATGTCCAGGGAAGCTGGAGATGAACAGTTGGTGGAGTAGAGCCACCCGGGATGAGGGGTAGCCACTTACGCTTGCAGTGTGGGAATCCATAGTAGCCCGTCCGGCAGCGGGTGCACTGCTGCCCGATGATGTTGGGGTGGCATAGGCACTGCCCACCCTCTGGGTTGCAGCTCTGGCCCAGAGCTCCAGCAGGGTGGCATCCGCAGGGCAGTGCGCCATTGTGGTACAAGGCCACCAGGGACCTGGCAGAGTTCTTACAGAATGTGGAGGCTGTCTGGGGGCTGCGGAGACACAGCAACTCATGGTAAGATGCTAAGAGGTGGCTCAGAACCCAGTTTGACTGGTCCCCCACCCTCTCCCCACAACACAGCAGTGTCCTCGCAGCAAGAGAAGCCCTGGAGTCCAGGATGAGTAAGAAACCACACAGCCATGGATATACAATTGGTGACACCACTATCCATCTGCCCCAGGCCTAACCCTATCCCTAACCCAAACCCCCCAACTGATGGTCCTTCACCCCCACACCGCCCCTCGCCCCACTCCATCTACTCCAGGAGGACCCATCACAGTAGAGCAGGGTAGGAGCTTTTGGTGGCTGGAATGAAAAGGTTACAATCCCTTGGACCATGGACCAGGGATGTGGACAGCCTTGCTAACATGCAGAATGCATTAGGAAGCGGATTGTTGCAGATGCAGTTAGATTAGAATCTAGCACCTATCACTTGATCTCCCTTATGATCCATTTAAATTTAGTCTAGTATTTGATATTTTCTGCTTTCTTTTTTATTGAGGTTTTGATAAGTTTTACTTTGTTATTCTGGCTACTTTTGTTTGTTTAATGTGTTTCTGTATATGCAATCCAGGATGGGTGCATCTACAGAGACAGTCACGGGATTCATGGTTCCGTGGGGGCATGGCAGGGGAGTTAGGGGGAAATGGGGAGCTAAGAGCCATGAGTACAAGAATGAGGAAAATGTCCTAAAACTGATTGTACAACTCTTCTTGATGTGATTGAATTAATGAATTGTATGATAGGTGGATTATACGCCAATAAAACGATTGGGGGGAAAACACACCTATAGCATCAATGATGAGGTGTGTGAATTATATCTCAATAAAGCCGTTGCAGGAAAAGATAAAGTGTATACTCATATAATCAACAATAACAGCAATGATGGGAGGAGGAGGGGGAGAATTGCCGACGTGTATGGAATGCCCATTGGCAGGGATCATGCGCCAGGGCTTTACCTTCATCACACTCACCTTCAAACACAGCCAAATAGTTAGGCCTACACTCCATTTCACAGATACAGCAACTGAGGCTCCAAGTGTTCCTCTCAAGGCCACAGAGCTATGGAGTGGCTGAGCACTCTCAAACCCACAGCTGCTTGACCTTAGGGCCTTTGCCCTTCACACACATGAAGGCGTCAGTCTCCCAAGGCTCTCACGAGCTCTCGCGTTCCTCAAAAAACCCTCAAGATGTGCGGAAGAGAACAGTAGTCTGCTCAGTACGATAGCAAAGGAGAGGGCACTCAGAGCTGACACCCCTAGCAATGGAGGGCACCGGATGGGCTAGCGTTTAGGAATCTAAGTTGGCAAACGGGAAGTAGACCGGGAATCCCAGTGTGGAGAGTGGACCTCAGCTGAGCTCAAAGTTGTGGACACTGATCCTGTACAGAGAGGCTAGCACGCGGCCATTGTAGGGCAGTCGAGGAGGAAAAGATGCACTTCCTCTCCCCATCCAGACTCACTGGCACTCGGGTGGGTGTCCAAAGAAGGCAGATCCACAGGCCACCCCAAACCCCAGCTGCACCCCGGCAGGAACTGTAGCAGTGCCCCGGGCATTCCGCAGTGGTACTTACTCAATATAAAAACTGTTTCCCCCACAGTTGTTGATAAACTCGGATGACTTGTCCAGAGAGTTCTTGGGTAGAGGTTGGAAATCATAATTTTCCACAGGCACAAGTAGAACACGGACCTAAAAGAAGCCCAGCCAAGTGTCTTTAGACTTCCAAACGCATGACCCACGTAACGCTATCCGTTATATATTCTCTTCTCTAGGACCCATGTTCTTAATTGTTAAGCCCAAGACCAAATGAAACAGATTTGTTTTTTTCAAAGAAGGTAATCACCAGTTTGGCAAACTCAACCCATGATCCTAAATAGAAAGCAATGAGTACAGAGCCTTTGAGGCCCCTCCTTTGAGAAGCGGCAGATTGGAGGGCTGGGCTGGGACCAAGGGCCTGTGGTTTTTCATGTCTGGCACACCTTCTGGGATGCCCAGAATTATTATTATGTATTTAGGAAACTTTTTATTATGAATTAGGTGATGGTTTACATATCAGATCACCATTTTCGGATTCAGCAACTTAAGTAACTTATCAAATCTCCTAATAGCTCGTCCATTGTCCTGCCCCGCACTGCCTTTTGCCATCTCCCTCATTCGGATATTACTATCCCTTTCAACCAAGTTAACACCTGCCAACCCTCTCTAAGTCTATAAGTGCCTCTTCCACCTCTGGTAACCATCAAATTCTGTTTCTTTTGGTACAAAAACCGTTATCTTGATTTTTTTAAATCATTTTATTAGGGGATCATTTGTGTCCAGCACATTAGTATATATGTTGACTTCATCATTCTTACAACACCCGCTTTCCACTTGAGCCCTTGGTGTCAGCTCATTTTTCCCCTTCCTCCCCACTCCCCCCAAACCCCTGATAATTTATAAATTATTATTTTATCATATTTTACCCCATCCAACATCTCCCTCACCTGCTTCTCCGCTGTCCGTCCCCCAGGGAGGAGGCCATATGTAGACCTTGTCATCTGTTCCCCCTTTCTCCCTCACCTTCCCTCCACCCTCCCACTATCGCCACTCTCTCCACTGGTCCTGGGGGGTTCATCTGTCCTGGGTTCACTGTATTTCCAGTTCCTATCTGTGCCAGTGCACATCATCCAGTCCAGCCGGATATGTAAGGTAGAATTGGGATCATGGTAGTCGGGGGGGGGAAGCATTTAAGAACTAGAGGAAAATTGCGTATTTCATCATTACTACACTGCAGTGGTCTCATACAACATCTGTTCTTTTGTGATTGACTACCTTCCTTCAGTATCATGTCCTCCAAATCCTTCCAGGTCGGAGGTATTCTAGAGGTTCATCATTATTCGTCACTGTCTCTCTTTTAGGGGGTCCTACTCATTGATTTTGTCTTCTGCTCTGTGTCTGGTTTGTGTTCTGTTTGATAGTGGTTTTTTTATGTCAAACATTTGGGTCCCTTTGTCTCTATGGTTTTCGTTGATGCTCTGCATAGCTCTAAGGTTTACAGATGGGCCTGCAATCCATCTTGAGATGACTTTGTGCATGGAGTGAGCTGTGGGTCTGGTTCCATTCTGCAGATGGAAACCAAAGGTTGCCAGCCGTAGTTGTTGAGGAGACGAGCTCTCCCCCATTTAACGTATGTAGCCCTCTGCCAAAATTCAGTTGTCTGAAATGGGATGGGTTTATTTCTGGTTTCTGTATTCTGTTCCCTGGTCGACATAGCTTCATTGTATCAGAGCCGGGCTGTTTTGACTATCATAGCTGTGTAGTGTGTTTTGAAGCTGGAAGTAAGAGGTCTACTACTTTGTTTTCTTTTTCTTTCTTTCTTTTTTTTTTATAGGGGAGAGCGAGAACGCAGTCCCCCACTACCACAGGTTATGCGGTCGAGTTTCCCACATTTGAGGAAATCACAGGGGTCAGCACACCCACAGTGCAATGGATGAGCCTCGCCCTGGGAAAACCACCTTCCTGGGCATGGTGTCTCCCCTGCCAGGTAAGTATTGTTCTTCTTTTATAATGATTTGCTTATCCTGGGTCTCTTCCCTTTCCAGTTAAGTTGATGATTTGTTTTTCCATCTCTTTAGAAAATGATGTTGGGATCTGGACCAGAGTTATATTTCAAGATTGTTTTGGGTAGCATTGATATTTTCTCAATGTTAAATCTTCCTGTCCATGAACATGGTATCGTTTTTTCCATGTATGTAGGCCTTGTTTGATTTCTTAAAGTACTGTTTTGTATTTTTCTTTGTACAAGTTTTCTGTGTCTCTGGTTAGGCATAAGCATTTCATCTTTGGGGTGACTACTGCAAATGGTATTGTTTTCTTATTTCCTGTTTAGAGCTCTCTTCATTAGCATACAGCAATCTGATTGACACAGCAATCTGATGGATTTTTTGTATGTTGCAGTTGTGCCATACTGCCAAATCTTTCAATTATCTTCATACTGCCAAATCTTTCGATTATCTCCACCAATTTTCTTGTCCAGTCTTTGAACTTTCTACACACAGAGTCTTGTTGTTGTTTTTAGGTGCTATCCAATTGGTTCTGACCCAGGGTGAACCTGTGCACATCAGAATGAAACACTTTCCGGTCCCAAACCATCCTCACAAGGGTTCCAGTGCCCGAGCCCATCGTTGCAGCCACTGTACGCAACGAGAATCCAGGGAAAGTGGTCAAGCAGAACTACACGGTCAAATCTGCTTTAACCAGGTGTGGTGAGATGGAATGGACGAAGAAAGGGCAAGCAGGAGGTCCTGGGCACGTGCGAGAGAAGAACGCTTGGTCTGACGGGGCCACGGGAACTGAACCGATGTGTGCAGAGACAGGATGAAAGGGAACCACCACCTTGGTGGAGCGGCCATGGGTGACGTAAAGGGAAAGTGGAGACATCATCGGTCCCGCTGGACACTGGATGCCCATCGGTCCATCAACTAAGGTGAGGAACAGAGTAGGGAGGCTCTGACTGCAGAGGAAGCAAGCTAGGCTTGAAGAACATGTGAGCTGTGTGGTGGTGGAGGGGGGGGGCACATAGTATTCCTTGAGTCCAAGGAAGATTAGCGGTACATGTACAGTTGAAGGCGTCATTCAACGGAGGAGAGGAGAGAATCAATGGGAGTGGATGACATCCCTCAAAGAGAGACGCTACAGACCAGGGAGCTCCGCATGTGAACCGGAGAGACGGTCGACAAATAGGGACCAGGGGAATAAGAGAAGCTATTGAAGGGACGCGAGAGAAAGTGAGGGGAAACATAGAGACAGTAGGAGGTGGAGATCAAAAGAAAGAGTTTGTTTTTTTAAACAAGAAGGTAAAAGGCTAAGAGTCTGACCAGCCAGCTGAGGACAGAGGAAGGGAAACACCAGTGGAAAGCTGAGACCCACACTCTCCAGAGCTGCTTTCAGGGCAGTTTTCCTCCCTATGAATTTCTCTATTTTTCCCATTCCCCTGGACTTTAATTGTCCCGTGCTTTTTATTTTTGTCGAACATAACCTGTACACTTTGAACATTTTTCTATACATGCCAATCGATCCCCTTGGAGGAGTGATTTCCACAGGACAAACCAACCCACGGAATGGCTGCCCCTGACAGCCACAAGGAGACAAGCGGAGGGACAATGGGAACGCACCAGCACCAAGGACCTTCCTTCTGGAACATTCACCGTCACGGTCACCTCCGGCTCTGAGACGTGCAAGGCATCCTGGCCTCCAGACACGACTCGAGCTTGGCAGCCAAGCACGTGGGGGCAAAAGGAGGCCCGGAAGGAACCTGGAGAGAGAGCAGAGAGTCCGCATCGCGCTGGGACAGGGTGGCTGGCTGGAGGGAGGCAGCTGCTGGGACCTGCTCACGGGAGCTCACCTGACCACTGCTGTGCTCCCTCCACAAACACCTGGGCAGCGAATGAGGGGTGCTCTGGTTGGTAAAAATGGATGACCAAGACATAGTGGCTCAGATGGGGTACATGTCCTCTCAGGGTCACCAGGTCCTAAGAGGCAAAAAATAAATGAGCCAAACTCAATGGAACCGAACAGAAAACCTCAAATGAAGAGCTACAAGCAGGTAGGGTCACAGCACATTTAGAGGTGAAAGTCAAATAAAACAGTCACAAATGAAAACGAAACATCGCTTCATATAATCTTCACATCTTTCATCGGAGAAGAGTCACCCTTTAGGGAGGGTAACCAACCTGCCAACGGTCAGACAAATTTCCTGACAAAACCAGGGTTAGAACTCCGTATGTCTGGATTTCAATTCACTCCCCCCACTACTCTTAGCTGCCTTCACCGTGTTACCACATGGGATCCAAATGGATTGTATCTCTCAGATCCTGTTAGTTCCTAAACTAGATGCAATGCCAATCGACATGAGCAACTGCTAGGATTACAAGGACCAAATTCTATCTGCACAAACAGTAAGCTCCATAACAAAGAATGAGAAAAAGTCTGCGGTTTTACCATTTACAGTGAACCATAACGCCAGCCACCAACGCATTCCATCATTGCCCTTCACGTGGGGCTCTCGCCAATTAATTCCCCCCTGCAAGGCACTGTGCTAAGTGCATGGGTGGGGAGAGGGTGGGGGACAACAAAAATGCTCTGTGAGAAGGGTTATTCTGAAAGTGTTTACATACTTGGGAAGACAACAGATGAACTCATCAAATGCAACCGATGCAAATATGAGGCATTACAAGACAGGCCAAGGAAAATTTCCAAATAAGTGAGTGGACAGAGATCCAGGCAAGAAGGAAGGAGACGACCTGGCCAGGGTGGTCACGGGATTAACAGATGCCTGCATAAATTCCCACAGAAACTGCTTCCAGAAGTTTCCATTAGATTTACCTGCAGAGTGGTGAAGCTAGCGATTGCTGGGGCAGTAGATCGGGGATTGGGACCTAAGAATTTGCGTTTCTAGTAAGTTCCCAGGGGATTCCGAAGTTGCTGGTCAAGAGCTCACACTCTGAGCACCTGTCATGTAGGTGAGTCCTACCTGTGGTTCCTTCAAAGTGATTCCAGAAACAACGCTAGCCGACAGGGCGGGATCCTGGGGCAGGAGAGGGGAAAGCCCTTCTCTCGGGACATCCAAAACGAATGCCGTCGGAGGGGCTTCGTGGGTCTGCGAGACACAGGTAGCGCTAGAACACAGAGGATTTTAACATCTGATTGAAAAACAAACTAAAAAGCTATGGTCCATGAAGGAACTAGATCAGAACAGTGAAAGGTGCCTTTCCAGAACTAAGACGAATTGCTCAAACGAGGTAAGTGCCACGGAAGTGCTAAATAAATACAAAAGCAAAAAACCCTATTTTTAAAAAGGCCCAAGACTGGTCACTTCTTTAAAGCAGAGTCAGGTTGGCATCATCTTTGTGGTTTCTGTCGCATGGTCCCGTGAACCCGATGCCACGACTGTGCATGTACATTACATTTAAATCTATATCCCAGCGATCCTCCCACCCCACCCCCTAAGCACGGGTTCGTTCATTCTCATGACCTGGCCGTGAGGCAGGCCTTTATGGTCATGTTTTCCTACGTGAACAGCCTCCGACACAGATTAAAGGATTGTATAAGGTGAGTCTGCGCGGGCTCAAAATGCACTCAGGATTCAGTGTGCTGAGGGCGGGGCTGAGCCACGGCACTCCTGCGTCAGCTTCCTGCTGTTCCTTCTGGACAGACAGCCAAGGTTAATGGTGTAGCTCCGTCTTTAACTGATCACGAGCCTGTAGCACCCACAGTCCCGTTTGAAGCTTCCGCCTTACAAGGATTGCAGTCTTACTCAGCGCACAAATTCACACAGGAAAGAAGCACACTACCTTTGATTGACAACTTGCCCATAACTGGCCAGGCAGCGGACTTGGGGCCTCACGTAATCGGTGGAGAATTCTTCAACTGGTATGATGCAAATTTGATGCTGTTAATCAAAGACAATGCAAGGAAAAAATTCATCTCAATTATCAACAAACCCACCGGTATGGCCAAACACGCTGTTTGACGGTCGCTATTCCTGAAAGAAGGAGCCCTGACTGGGTTGTTGGGTAAGTGTTGGACTGCAAACCAGAAGGTCAGTGGTTCCAGTCACGCCACGGGAGAAAGAGGAGGCTGTTTGCTCCCGTGAAGATTTACAGAGTCCCTAGGTATCCGAATGCGCTCAAGGCTAGTAGGCTGGGGTTGTTAAGTGAAGGCTTCATCCAGGGCTGTAATGCATACTTTATAATAGTCATGCAGGATGGTAGCCTCCACAGCATCATCTGTACAACAAATCCTTTCTCCTTCTACCAGGGTCACTGACTAAACTGCCTTTGGAATAACTGCAGAAATAAAGCTGAGAACGAATTGCAGGAAAGCACTAAAACAAGGTTGTTCAGTTCATGCCTGGAGCTGGCCCGGAGGGCGGACAAGGGGAGCAGCCCCCCAGAAGCAGAACTCAGCCGGTGACAAATGTGCTGCTGACCGAAGGAGCCTTGAATCTCAGGCACACCTGGAAGTTACTCAAGGAACCGTCCTCAGAGGTAAGTTTTGAGGTAAATTTTGAGTCAGATAAGAACATACACCACCAGGCACAGATATTTTAAACACATTCGAACCAGCTGACCTGGCATTTCTCAGGCCGTGATACATGCTGACTATTATCAGTAGCAGGAACTGCCTTCATCCTTGGATACTCTTTCGTTGCCTGAGTTATTTATTTAAATCTGGCTACTTCTTCTCACCCGCGATGCCCTGACCTCTATTTAGGAGACTTCTTAATATTCCACGTGTGTCATGAGAGGGGTGGGCTTGACAGTTATTTAATCTGCCATTGTCGTTCTCCATAGTCTGTGTCTGATGGCCCGGATCCGACTTCCTCTCCTTTTCTAACATCGCATTGTATGTTTGGGGAAGGTTTATATAGCAGTTGGGGTTCTGATCCACAATTTCTACACAACTTGTTCTGTGCCATCGAAGTTCTCGTTCATAATGCATGGGCATTCTCATTGTTCCCATTCTGGTCCTCCTACTTCCACTAATGCTGTTTCCCAGCCCCTCTGGCCTTCTCTTTGTCTTAGTTTTAAAGCAATTGTTGACCGGTTTGTCTCAAACAGACGATTCGTTCAAGTTGTGCAGGACTCAAATGTTATCTTTATCCCGCAAGCCAATCGGTTATTAACTCCCAGGTGACCTCGGGAGCTACTTTCAGTTTCAAGTTTAAAGACTATCTCAAGGGCATGGTCTTGGGGAGTCTTCAAGCCTCAACCAATTTGGTAAGTCTGAATTAAAAAAAAAAAATTGAAGTTCTATTCCACATTTTCCTCCCATTCTATAAGGGCCCATCTATTGTGACACTGATCATGAATGATACTCAGTTTTGAAGTAGAGCAACACTAGTTTGTAAAAACAAAGCAAAAACAAAACATCCTAGGTGATAATCAAGTTTAAAATTCTGAAAGAGTTTTCCAAAAAGCTAAAAGAGATAATAAATAGTAAAATGGGCAAGAAAATAAGCAACAACTCAGGGCAATTACAATGAAATGGGAAATATGGCCAAAGATATTCCATTCATAATAGCAATAAACAACCAACTAAAAAAATCAAACACTGCAATCGAGTCCATTCTGACTCATAGCAATCCTATAGGACAGAGTAGAACTGCCCCTCTGGATTTTCAAGGACGTAAATCTTTGGGCACAGAAAGCCTCATCCTTCTCCCACATCATATCTGGTGGTTTGAACTGCTGACCTGGTGGTTCGCAACCCACTCCGCCACCAGGTTCCTTATCATTGCAATGAAAAGTTGGTGACTGGAGTCTTGTGAGCTCGGTGCTAACCTGATGACTATATCGGGTGGTGGGAAAGACGCTCCTGGAAGGAGGTCAAATCTCTAGACGGGATGCAGAAACGATCTGAAACTGGCAATTCTTCACACGTTAATCTTACAGAGAAATCAACAGAACACTTCTAAAATCCAATGGGCACAACGGAAACATACCAGCAGGAATCCGGCCATCTGCGCCTTGATCTGAATGTGCACATCTGCCTGTAGCTCATACACAGCAATGCGGCGTGTGTGGTCAATCACAGCACTCCGGCAAAGGATGCTGGGGAGGGAACAGAACATGCTAAGCCTGGCTCCATAAATTCCCCTCATTTTGTCCCTATCTGTGTGGTGCCTGCTTGCTCCTCAGCCTCTCCTGGAAATAACTGATGAACAATGGGGAGTTTTCTAGTCAGAACAGTTTATGAGAGAAAAGCCGGCGCTGTCCACTGACCCTCTACTTAGGGTGACCCCATGTGTGTTAAAGGAGAACTGTCCAGCAGAGGAGTTTCAGGAGGTGATCACCAGTTGCAGTAGATCACCAGGCCTTGCCTCCATGGGGCCCCTGGGTGGACTTTGACTTACAACCTTTCAGATAGCAGCCAAGTGTGCTCCTTGTTCACACCACCTTCAGAGGAGTACACCCCACAACCCATGGGGGACAAAACTCATGCTGTACCCCTCAGGGTGAAAGGTTCCAACTCACCTTTTTCCACCTGACTTTGAGCAACACCGATTTAGTCTCAGGCTTTGGGCAGAGAGTCCCAGGGTCAGCCAATAAAGGTCAATGTCTGTACCACCGTTCTGTGCCTTTGACCTGCTCTATGGAGAAGTCCAGGCAGCCAAGAAGAGGACCCTTCCCTTAGCCTATGACCAACAGCCTCCAGGATGCATGAGACCTAGTGATCTACCCATCTGGAAGTACTAATGCCACATAGAGACACAAAGATAAGTATGCACCTGTCCGCATTCTGGTCTTTGCCCTCATGCAATGCACCCAGGTACTTGACACGGACTTCGAGGCAAACATGAAGAATTCATTATTACCACTGCCAAGGCTGGCAGGCCGAAAATTAAGCTTGTGCAGCCAGTGCCCTCACTGGCAATGAGGCTGGGTCATCTGACTAATCACCTGCCAGTTTTCAGCACCTGCCTCAACAAAAGACAACAGCTTTCCAATTCAACCTGCCAGGCAAACACCCAAGCTCCGAGAGCAGAGTCCCTCAAAGTTCAGACACAGAGGACCCCGTTACCTGTATCTGCAGCGGTAGATGTTCACCTGGCCTGTTGCATTGGACCGGGGGCTCTTCACATCCACACCGACCACAGAGAGTAGATCAGCGTCCGTGGCATACTCAACCACGACCACGTAGTTGCCCACCTTCGGGACACGTAGTCGCAGCCAAAGCTCCACCTGTCAGAGAACACATGTGAGTACGTCACCATCCGACAGGAAGCACACTGGACACGTGTTCACATGCAGTGGTGTCAACAGAACTGAGATGGCAGCCTGCAGTTTCTCTTACGTCAAGGTGACCAGACATCCCACTTTTGGCGGGACAGTCCCACTTTTTAACAATTTGTCCCGTGTCCCGCGGCATTTTTTTAAAGTCCTGATTTTTGGAAAGAATGCATGACAAGCTAGGGTATACAGTTTCCGGCTGCCATGTGGCTATTTTGCCAGGATATGAGTTTTATCAATGGTGTCCCGCTTTACCAAGGTTAAAATCTGGTCACCTTATCTTACGTGCCATTAAGCTAATAAATCTGGTTTTAGAGGTGTGCTGGCCAGATATAATACAGGTGATCCTGTTAAATTAGTCCTTGCTTATCTGGAATTCAAACTTAATAGAGTAATCATAGTTGTATTTTCTAACTCTGGCAACCCTACGCCGGCTACCCAGGAGTTTCTTATCTACTTGCTCGAACTACTTACTTTCAAAGCTTGAAATAAAAAATAATTATCAATGGGGGAGGGCATAATGGGGAATGGAAAAGCCCCCTGAGGTGCTTTCCTGCTCTCTAACTTAAAAAGAAAAACTTTAACCCAGATTATGTAAAAATGACATGGAACCTACTCCCATGATGAAGGCTGCGAACAGCCTGGATTCTAGACTTCCCGGCCATTTCTATGCCCAAATATGCACCAGAGCATACATTTTGTTTTGAAACCGTGACCCCAGTCAGCAGCTATGGATGCTTTTTCTCTGGGACAGCAGCAGACCGCGTCACTCACAGAGCATAACACATGTGCTCTCCGGCCCTGGACAGAAAAATTGTGCCAACCCCTGATAGAGCCAACGGATTGGGAGCCTAGATTCAGGAAGCTGATTGTCTCCAGCGGGGTGGCCAAGTCACTTAACAGGTGTGTCTTCTTCAGGGGCCTCTTGTGTCAAAGGATGAGGATAATCATCTCCACCTCCTACGGTATGTGACGTCCAGGCTAGGGACCGCGATGGAGACCACTACTGGATTCATTGCTCCTGGGGTATGGCAGGGAAGGTGGGAGGGGCAACGGGGAGCTCATAACGATGAGGACAAGAACAAAGAAACTGTTCTAAAACTCATTGTGGTGATGATTGTACAACTCTTCTCCATGTGACTATTGAATTGTATGATATATGAATTACATATGCCAATAAAACTGTTCAAAAAAAGTTTGCTATGAGGATTAAGTGGATTCATGAATGGAGAGCGTCTCCAAGCATATGTGGCTTACAATAAGTACGATGCAGACGACTATTATAAAGATGATTGCTGCTTTTTGCCACAACTTATTATTTCCACCTAGGTGTCCATATCAATACAAAATTATTCTTGGTGGCACTAGGCACTTAGTCACTAGGTTATTAACTGCAAGGTTGGCAGTTCAAACCCCACCAGCCACTCTAGGGGCGAAAAATAAGGCTGTCTGCTTCTGTAAAATTTTAGAGCCTTAGAAACCCTGCGTAGGGTCATTATGAGTCCAAATTGACTTGATGGCAGTGTGTTTGATTTTTTGTTTTTGTTTGTATGTCCATACATAGAGATAAACTTCACTTTTCCCATGGTTGCCTAGGATTCATAGTATAAATGTACAATACTTTGTTTAATCAGCACTTTGCTGGTGGACACTTGGGCGGTCTCTGATTTTCCCTACAACGGATAATACAACACAACAACAACAACCGTTTCTGTTAAGTTCATCCTAACTCACGGACCCGTGTGTGTCACAGTAGAACTGGAAGACCAGGTCTTTTTCCCAACCTCCTCTGAGTGGATTGGAACAGCCAGCTTTTCTAAGCACTTAACCAGCAGAATCGTGAGGTCACGTGTGTTGCACCTTTGATGCCTGGACCAATAGTAGATCTACTCGTTAGCGAGTCAGCCTGCCTCATGCCCTGAACTTTCTGCCTCGAAGAAGCAGGCCCAGGCCTGCTTTAACACAAGTGACTTAAAGGCATCCCCTGACCCTCTGCCTTCGGAAAGGTTACACGCACTCTTCCTTCAGCACAGCTCTAAGCCAAACCACCGCCGTTTTCCACGGTCACTTTTCTATCACTTAAATACTAGAAAGGCTTTCCTCTAGGGGAAACATGTGGAAGATCCGTGCCACTTTTCCACTCTGTGTTAGAGACACTGCCACACACAGAGCGCTCGAATAGCATTCTCCCCTGGGCACCTCCGAACAAGGGCTCTTCTGTCCTCCCCTCGCCACCAAGCCCGCACAGGTCCACGGTGCAGTAGGTTTTCTCCGAGAAGTTATTATTGGCTGCCAGGTTGCTCATAGCACCTTATTATAAATTCCTACTACTTTTCCCATTCTGATGCATACAGAGTGGTTTTTGGAACACCTTTAGGAAGGGTTGGAAAGATATTGGATGGCGACAGTTAGTCTGTTCTGAGAAACTCAATCAAAGACACGAAAGGTGGCCAATGGGAGCTACTGCTTGCTGTTGCTACCAGGGACTTGTCTTTCACAAAGGGAGCTTGAGTGGAACCAGGGTCAACTGAGAAGGACAGCTCTCGTGCTCTGAGAGAATTGCCCTCAGCTGTCATGAGTGTTTCAGGAGAATGACACAGCGTGTCCCATACGGTAGCCACTAGCCATTTGTGACTACTAAGCTAGTGCAGCTGAATTTTTAACTGGACTTGGGCTTAATTAATTTAAATCTAAATAGCCAAACGGGGCTACTAGATACAGCATTGAGCAGCATGGGTCTCTAAGCAATCAGGTAAAGGAGAAAAAAAGGGGAGTGCAGACATTCCTTAGTTGGATGCATTATCTAAAAATGGGCCCTTCCCAGTGGCTGATCCCAATAGCTGTGGCTCTGAGATGAGTCAGAGATGAGGAAACTTCCTGACGAGTCATCAGCATCATTTGCTGGAGGTTGCCCCTTTGCCCCCAATGGGTGTGTGTGTGTGTGTGTGTGCATCATTTCCTGGAGGTTGCCCCTTTGCCCCCCATGAGTGTGTGTGTGTGTGTGTGTGTGTGTGTGTGTGTGTGTGCGCAAAGAGGTCCCTGGGTGGCACAAATGGCTTGTGTTCAGCTGCTGACCACAAGGTTGCTAGTTCAAACCCACCCAGCAGCTCCAAAGAAGAAAACGTTGGACTCTGCTTCTGTCAGGAGTACATTCCAGAAAACCCTATTCTGTAAAACACTGGGTCAGAATGGACCAAATGGCACAAGACAGCCACAGGACGTGTGTGTGTGTGTGTGTGTGTGTGTGCGCGCATATAGGAGTACACGTCATGTCCCTAGATCTCTGTGGGGGACTACAAAAAGTTCATGGAAAAAATGGAATTAAAAGATAATCAATTGTTTCTTTCTTCTCCCCCCACCCCCCAAAAGTTCGATTGGCGTATAATTCACATATCATGCACTTCAACAGTTCAGTCACGTCAGGAAGAGTTGCACACTCATCTGCACCATCCGTTTGAGAATGTTTCCTTCACTTTTGTCCTCCTCCTCATTAGCTGCCCATTGCCTCCCAAGCTGCCCTGCCACACTCCCAAAGGAACCATTAAGCCAATGACTGCCTCTGTAGATTTACCTATCCTGGATTTCAGATCCAGAAAAACGTAAAAAGCCAAACAACAACAACAAAAATTTTACAAGAATAACCAAATAGATAAAACCTCAGTCAAAAGAAAGCAGAAAAAGATGAAAAACTAGAACAAATTTAAATGAAGCATAATGGAGATCAAAGGATAGAGTGTTAAATTTTAGCCTACCTGCATCTGCAACAATCCACTTTCCAGTGCAGTCTGCCTGCTAGCAAGGCCGTTCACACCTCTGGTCCACGGCCAGAGGGGCTTCGCCAGGGGCTTAATCTATGTGTATTTCCTCTTCCATTTTTAAAAATGGAAACAACTTTAAAATGAGCCCAAAGGGAGATGCAAGAATAAGATACTACATTTTGACCATCTACGCCTGCTGTAATCAACGTTACAATGCTCTCTGTCTGATAACAGGGCTTTGCCCGTTCCTCAGCGATGGTCGGAGGGGCTTCCCTGGCAACTAAATCCATAGGTGGACCCTGCACATGGATTTGGGCTCCCACTGGCATCCAGAGCCTTCTGCAAACTGGGTGTTCACTATTTAAGCTCTGATTCCATTCTCTCCTTGAGATTTGGATTATATTATTCAAAATCCTTGGATCACACCGGCTGGTGTGCTTCCTCCATGTAAACTTAGTTGAAGCCTCACTTGGATGGCTGCTTGTTTGAATATAAGCCTTTAAGACTCCAGACATACCTTTCTGACAGCTGGAATCACTGAATTTCTTCACCACACTTTGCTAGAGTACTCACATATTCACTGATCTCTTCATGAGATCAAACCATGTTGTAAGAACTAATTGTTCTTAGATTGAGGCTAAATCCATTCATACACTTATAGCTCATCTATGTCTCTGGTTCGCCTTAGCAACATCAATAATGAAATTATTTCCTGAACTATTTGAAGTCTCCTCACATCTATGTGTGTGTACAGCATGGATACGGAGGAGTTAAGTGAATGATTAGCATTACAATAGAAAGGAGAGAAGATTATCTCATTTTCCTGTATGCCTATATGACTTACATTTATCAGTTTCAAAAATTAAAGACTAATCAAATGAAATGAAGACCATACTAAATGACATCAAGAAATATATTTTAAAACCCTCTAGGTGTTATGCTCCAATGTTAGAAACGTACTTAATGAAAAGTGTACCGGTTACATAGTCACTGATCATTGATCCCACGTATATGTGCATCCCAGACATTTAATTTCCTAAGTGACCGTTGGCCTGAAAGGAGCGAAGCAGAGATGTTGCAGAGAAGTAAAGAGGGAAACACAGAGGACGGTTTTCCGCAGTCTTTATTTCGAGGTGTTGGGTTGTGTGTTGTTGATGGGCTCCACGTCTAACTCTCCGCCCATGTCGGCCCAGTTCCAGATTTGGTGAGGAGCTCAGAGGACTGCTAGGAGGACCAGACCTGTCCTAACCTGTCCTTCACTCCGTGACGTAAGTGCCTGGAGGCTTAGCAGTTCCAGAGTTTGGAGCTCGAGGAATTTAGTGGTTAAGGATCCCTGATCCTCGGGCAAAAAAGTCCGTGAGTCTTGCGTCCTTTTAGGGTAATCTGGGGATTTTCTGGCAGTCGTTTAGAAAAAGACTGAGTCCCGACTGCCTTTTGAAAGAGAGAGCTTGGCCTGAATTGGGTACAGCTGGGCATCTGCTTGTGACATCTGAATAACAGACAGGCAAGAGGACGGGGTTGCCCATTTCCCTCCCACGTTAACCCAGCATGTTCCAAGAACAGCCCTGGCTGCTCAGTGTGGACCCCAGCCAGCCGCAAGCCATGTCAGAGATCTCTGCCAACGTGGGACTTCAGAGACATTAGTGCTCCTGATTCCAAGAGGCAACGCTGGCCCAAGTGTTTTTCCAGCAGGCACAGACAAGGAGGTGGCGCTGGCGCTCCAGAAAGTGAAAGGTGGCCCTACCTCTCTCCCACTGAGGTCCACCATGATGGGGTGTGCTGGGGTGGGCTGCCTGGATACCAAAGGTCTCAGCTCCCCAGCCAGCAGGAAGGATCTGGCTTCCCGAGCCAGGGCACAAGGGAATCTGGTCACCGGCAGATGTTGGTAGAGCAGGCAACTTCAACAGCACAACAGAAAAGCCAGTGGTTACAACTCAAAACGGAAAACAGGGTATCCAAGTGCATCCCAAGGGCTTGTCTTCATTCAGGTCATTCACTCATTCCCTCATGGCTTCATCCACAAAGCCTAACTAAGGGCCTCAGAGGAAGGGAATGGGTGGGAGGTTTCTGTCTGCATGAGAAACAGCGGACCACAGGCCTGGATTCCATTTCAAGCTCTTCCCCTCCCCTGACACCCAGCCAGACGCCTAATGAATACTTGGGCTTGCATCAGCATCACGCATGCTCCATGGCTGGGGGTGGGGTGGGGGCATGAGGTGGGGGTAGGGGGGTCTCTCTCACACTAGCTGCAAGGCACCAAGTGCTTTGTCATTCTTACTTAATAGGGACTAGTGCCGCCACAGAGAGAGATTCTCCAGAGCATCACGTTACAGTGATGGTGGAGCTCTACAGAGCTGCTGCTGCGACCTGTACTCACTTCTCTTGGGTGGATCCCGAAGAGGTACATGGCTCCGTGACTGGCAGCTGCAGGGCGGACGCTTCATAGTAGTCCCTGGGGAGCAGTACCAGGTAATCCTAGGAAGTAAAGGACAAAGGGACGGTCACACATTTGACCAGCAGTCATAATAAAATAACCCAACCGACAGGGGCTCGCAACGGAACTGTGAATGCTGACAGCTTGTTCTTCCTCGCCTTCAGCCAAACACCCCAAGCAACTCATCACACAGATTCTCCGTTGATCGGCGATGTTGCAGCCACGGTGTCAATCCATCTCACAGAGCACCTCCTTCTTTTATCACCGCCCCTCCACTTTACCAAGCATGATGTCCTCCTCCAGGGACTGGTCTAAGTTAAATCAGAACGACTAGTTGCATTAAATTGTAAACCAAGGCAATCCAAGACAAACAAATGAAAGCCCAAACTCACTGCTACCAGTCCCTTCCAGCTCCCGGCGACCCCGTGGACGACGGAGGAGACGCCTACTGGCGTGTCCTGGCCGTCCTGTCTCCAGCAGGGCGGGAGGGCATCTAGCCTTCCTGCAGCTCCTCAGGCTGGATTCCAACCTCTAACCTTTCATTTTTGACGAGTGCAAACCAGTTGTACCACCTCTACCAAACTTTAGGGCACGTCTCAGAGCTGCCTGGCGGGGATTGGGGGGGGGGGTACGTATGCTGGAGCTGGTAGCCACACGTTCACTGTTCAAACCCACCGGTTGCTCCACACAGCAGAAAGATGAAGCTGTCCACATCTGTAGACTTGGAATCTGGGAAGCCCACAGGGACAGTTGTACTCTGAGCTATAGGGGCGCTGTGAGTGGGAATGGGCGTGATGGCCATGACAGTGGAGGGTTGTTTAGCTTTTCGATTTCCAATCCAGAATAACACACCACTTCTAGAAACAGCAATGTACTGTGGTCCTGGTGATTCAGAGGATGAAACTGGCCCACTGCCCGGCCTAAGCAATGAGGGCAAGAACATGCCCCACTGAGTGTGCCAGTCAGCCCACAGCAGAGCCAGCAAGGGGCTCTTTAGGAAAGAACAGAGCTTCACTGCTGAGACAGATGGTCTAACGGCTTCCCAGGGCTCCCGGCATCACTGCACAGCTGCAGGGGCAGGGATGCCAGCCACAACCGCACCACTAAGCCTTGTTTCCCCAGAAAGGCCTCCACTTTTCTATCCTGAAGAAAAGTAGAACTATACAGGAGTCTGGAAGCAGGATGTTATGGCCCAGGGCACTCAGGAATCCACCATAGTGGCCTCTATGCCTGAGTAGGACTTAATTTAAATGCTTAATGTTCTATTAATCAGTTTCTGAGGTTGGAAACATATCTCCTCATTACTCTCTGGTCTCATAGATCTGAGCACAGTAAAGTTTGGCAGTCGACTTTCAATAAAATATTTTGAACCCCTTAGGGTGGAGGGACGGTCGGGTAGAAAGGAGGAACTGATTACAAGGATCTACATATAACCTCCTCCCTGGGGGATGGAGAACAGAAAAGTGGGTGAAGGGAGACGTCGGACAGTGTAATAAGATATGACAAAATAATAATAATTTACAAATTATCAAAGGTTCATGAGGGAGGGGCGAGCAGGGAGGGAGGGGAAATGAGGAGCTGATACCAAGAGCTCAAGTCGAAAGCAAATGTTTTTAGAAGGATGAGGGCAACAAATGTACAAATGTGCTTGACACAATGGATGGATGGATTGTGAAAAGAGTTGTATGAGCCCCCAATAAAATGATTTCAAAAATATATTTTGACCCCAAAATGGAATGGAAGCATATGTAGGTATTACTGTATAATCACACAGATTAAAAGTAACTGATGTAAGAAGTTGGATTGGTGAACGTTGTATGACAGATACATTTATGACAAAAGATACATCAATTGAAAAAGCACTTGCTGAGGACTCTTATGTGCAGACCAAAACTGCACGGGGCGTGGCTTCTAGAGCCATGCTTTCATTGGACATCCCAGTGATGTGGATTGACAGCATGTCTGCTGCTTCTGTTCCACATCCGGACTCAATGCGCAGGGGTCTTAGAAAGGCTTGCAAGCAGCCATCCGAAGCACCGCAATTAGTGACTGATGAAGAAAGGGATTTGGGAACAAGAGGAAGATATGGACACATGGCTAATTTCCTCCATGAACAGCTGCCTCCATTGCCCAGAGAACAAGAGACCTACATCAGAGGTTCCAAAATATATTTGGCCTACTGTGCAGAAAAACCTCTCAGCACCCTCTAGCAATTAAAAACTTAGGTACTTCAGCCCAGAACCAGCTTTTGCACAGGCCCTGGCTCATTCCAGCAACCCCCAGGGAGCAGTATCACCCACTGTGGGGAACACTGAGCTAGAGAGCACCTGGCTACCATTCCTGAACATTTTGAGGAGAGGTTCCATCGACGAATCCTGATCGAAAGAACCCACCAGGGTAGGAGCTGACACCATGATCTAGAAGCGGCAGATGGGGCAGGCTCGGGGTTAAGGGAGCTGTCTGAGATTTGTTAACCTGCCCGGTCAAGGAGGTTGTACAAGTAGAAAAGCTTTGTATTTTCTGCTCTGAGGGCATGAACCCAAACTTTTGACAAACACTGTATTTTGAAAAGACCTTAAGTGGACACAAAATCACAGATGAAAGAGGGTGTCTGTCCCCAGAGTTGGAAAGTCCCATGGTTTCTTGAGCTGGTAGTACTCTTTGAAAACACAGCCTTTTCCTGGAATAAGCCTTGTTTGCCTAAAGTACCCTGTTGAGGGAGACGCCTGGCTGCCTGTAAGGAGGGAGAAGGATGCACTGGCTTTTCTAGCCTCAGTCTCTCTGCAGGGCCGAGAGCAAGACTGGTAGTGGGGTCTTCTCGGCTGAATGAGGTTCTTCTGACTTCATTCTGCAGAATTCCTGGAGAAGCCGGCTTTCCGTCGAAACGTCCCTCTGATTCATGACGGGACCATCACAAATGAGCTTTTGAATGGTGGGGCCATAAGCTCATGTAGGTTCGTATATTTTGTTCTCTCCCCCTTTGGGTCATTCTGAGTCCTAATGTGTTTATTGTTCATCCTTGTCCAGGCGGGTGGAGGATTGGCTGGAAGGATATAACCGATACTTGAAGTTGATTCCTATCTCGTTTGAGGGCAAAGGTCATCATATGTTCCTATGTCCAGGAGAGAACTGCCTAGAATGTCAGCATTTTTTTTTAGGAATCTTAGGAGCCCTGCTGGGGCAGTGACTATGCATTGGGCTGTGATTTGAAAGGGCAGATATTTCAGTCACCAGCCCTGCCTCTGGAGAAGAGATGGGCCTTGCTACCTCTGTCAATAGTTACAGTCTTGGGAACTCACAGGGGCAGTGCTACCCTGTCCTAGAGGGTGGCTGTGAGTTAGCAAGGACTCGGGGGCTGGGAGGTCAGTGTTTTTAATGGGTCACAGTGTCCGTGTTGTCCTCTCTCGGGGGAAAGAACCCAGCCGCATCCTCACTGAGAAACATCGCTCACCAGGAGGACTCCCTCTGCTTTGATGCAAGCGGTCCATAACCCTGGCGCAATGGAAAACGGTTCTGAGAAACCACTTTCATGGACAGTGACAAACGCTGGCTCCTTACTCGGCAGGAAGATGATGCTTTTGCTTTGAACAGCACCTATCAGAAGGAAAAGGAGAGAGTAAGGCTAGCTGTCAACATGGCGATTGGGGATATTCTGTTTCTTCTTCAGTTTACCTCTGAAAACAAGGTTAAGATGTGTCACTGAGCTATCAACATTTACCGATCTTATGTTTTAAAAGCACACGCGTTCACAAGCACAGGCATAAAATAGACATTGCTACAGATGTGAGCAGTAGTTATCTACTATGGGATCTGGGTGATTTTTTTACAAAAGAATGTATGAAAGGGTATGTCAATTAATCCATCACAGCTGCTAAAAATAATATGTGGAGTGTAGTGAGTGTTCAATATATTACATTAGCTATCAAATTATTCTCTTCCTTTGCATTGATCTGTAACTTAGAGTTCGTAACAGAAAGAACTTGAATGCGTTTTGTAGTAAAAAACCCTTGGGTTGTCTCTGTGCTCCTTTGTGCTCAGGATGCAGAGCACGTGCCCCTACATAAAATGATCAGGAGACCCAAGACCTCCCCTGAGGCAAGCAGCCGGCCTTCTTCCTCTCGGAACAGACCTGTCGCCAGGCCAGCTACAGGAGAAGCTCAGAAGCCACACATGGTTAGTATTTAAGAGTATGTTACCACCTCCTAAACCCGAGCCCTCCGGGGCTGATGATATGAAGTTCCTCCCTGTTTAAGAAACATCATCAAATGTCTATGTTGTGGCCCTGCACAGTGCCTCCTGCACCAGAAGGCAGGCAGGGAAATGCAAGCAGTGTCCCAAATCCGGAGAACGCCATCAATCTGCTCGTCCACTAAAATATGGGGCTCAACAGGGGAGGCCGGAGGTCCGGAGCCTTCAACAGGCATGGAGTTTTGAAGTCTCCTGTCCCTCAGACTGACTTCCATGAACATGCAGGGACACTTCCTTTTCTGTGGAAAGCTCGGAACTGAACAAAATGACTGTATCTGAATTCAAAGGAAGCTTTTTCTGAAGAAGACATGTTTCTACGAAGCCTTGCTTCCACTCTGTCATCCAACACAGAGCTCTCATTAAACGCCAGGTGTGGAGTCAAGGTCTGGGGCGTAGAAGTGGACACAGTCAGTGTGCCCTTGATTCCCTGGTGGTGGGAGCTGGGCTCATCAGGGGCAGGGAAATCCGGCACAGTGCACACGCCGGAGGAGGCAAAGCTGACAAAGGGACTAGATACCAGGGGCTCCCGACGCCATCCTGGGGCTTAAAAAAGGGGACTCGGAGGAGTTGGAAACAAACCTAAATATAATCCAACTGCTGGGAGATAGCTGATGGAGAGCTACCTCAGCAGCAGTGGGAGATGTCAGCGTTTGGAGTCTGAAGACACAGAGTGGTTGGTCTACAAACACCAGTTTCCCCGACCTTTCAGCTCTGTTTCCTCCTCACCTTTCTCTAGAGCAGTGGTTCTCAACCTTCCTCATGTTGTGGGGATTCCCAACCACAAAAGTATTCTCATCGCTACTTCCTAACTGTCATTTAGCTGCTGTTATGAATTGTCACGAAAACATCTGATCTGCAGGATGTATTCCATTGTTACAAATTGAACATGCTTAAAGCACAGTGATGACTCACAAACACAATATGTAAGTGCATATTGTGAAATATTTATTTCTAATTACAAATCAATGAAATTTTGTCTTGAAGCATGGTGTAGCATGGGAAACAGTCTTTGTATGTGGGTGTATCTGCATGTGGGCAGACCCGCCTAGAGACGGATAGGGGAGTGGTGTCTCTGTTCCTAATATCATCGGAAATATGTATTTTCCTAAGACGACCCCTTAGGTAATCCCTGTGAAACTGCGACCCACAGGTTGAGAACCACTGCTCTAGACGTTCTTATGCGATGCCTGTAGGAAATGGTGCTAATGTAGTCTAAATGAAAAAGAAAATCTGCCTGTTCTTCCTATAGGTTATTCATTCATCAGGGTTCAGCCTTCTAGATTTGGCTGACCCCTCTGGGGAACGCCTGCCATGGAAGTTGTGGCAGTAAATCATCTCCTGTCAACTTGCAAAGGGGTGGAGTCTAGCCTGTCAATCAGGCCATAGCTATTGAGGCCTCCATGTGGGCATGGCCTTCTCCTGAGGATTCAAGGAACTACTGTATTCCTCCCTGGAGGAGGAGACCCTCTCTGTTTCGTCTTCCTGCTGACAAGTCACATGGAGCTACACTGATGCAGTCAGAGCCCTGGAGAAGCCACGTGGAGACCCAGACCAGTGCTGAGATGCTTCCACCACCACTGGATCCGCAAGACTTTCCACCCACTGGCTTGTGATCTTCCTGCATTCAGCATCATTGCATGGCTATGTGAGTCTAAAGAAGAATTTATGCACTAGTATTGACATATGGGCTAATATCAGACTTAAGGACTCGATCTGGACTGGGCTGTTTTCTTAACATACAATTGCTCTTTGAAATAAAGTTCTCTCTTACACACATAAGAGTATCTCTGGATTTGTTCCTCTAATCAACCCAGACTAACACACATGCTAAAAAAAAAAAAAGATGTTTTTATTTTTGCCTCTAAATCATTGATGTCATTGCATGTCCTTGGATTCCCAGTGCTTTCCAGAATCTGCTTCCAGGGTTGATGGATGCTCAAATTCCTTACAGAGCAGACTTCAGTCTCATCTCTGACTGTGGCCAACTTGTTCTTTTCTGCTGTCCCCTTGCCCTCAGAAATCCATCCTGGATTCCCCCATTCCTAAATGAAGATTACAAGTCCTACCTGGAGCTCTCTCGGGGGCCTCATGCTTTCCAGCACTCATCTGAAGAATTCCCGCCAGTACTAGTTGCTATTGAGTTGATGCTGACTCGTAGTGAGTAGGTTGCCAGGTGTTTACTCAGAGGCACCTCTGGTAAATCTTAATCACCAACCTGTTGGTTAGCAGCTGAGCACATTAACCATGTGCCTCCCTGAGATTCCATGCAGCATCCCCACCTGGACCCATTCCACCTTGAAACAATGGGAGGAGCGAGCACAGTAGGCCGACGCCTCTCAAAGAGCACGAGGAAGAGGATGCCGCCTTCAGCATGAAGAAGCTGTGAGTTAGCTCTTCCCTGTGGTGAAATCAAGACTCCGCTTGTTCTATTGATGGTTTCTCATGCCAGTTAGTGATAAGGTTCATGATGAAACAGAAATATGCTGAGCCTCTCGAGGACAAAAACCAACCACAATGAAGGACATTCAGAATCACCCTCAGGAGACACAGACTGACAATCTTCTGAAGATCGTCAAATGTGTGGGAACTGGGGGAAAAGTGCTGGTCATTTGCCAATTGCAAAGATGATTTAAAACACACCTACCTGCCTTATCCGAGGATGGGTAAAGAGTGATGTGGCCAAATACTGCGTCAGGTCCAGGGTTAATATATCTCAGAACCACACGAAACAAGGAGAGCTTTGACTTCCCCACATTCAACATGATCTTTACTTCATTCTGAAAAATACCAGCAAGCCACAAAGGAGAGAAGAGACTCCAGGTTAAAAGACATGCTAGCCAGACAATGACCGCATGCCATTCCAATGTCTCGAATGGTCTTTCAGTCGCACGTGCACACAGCTACATACTCACCCCCACACATCAAGCACACAAGTCACCAACGCTAGCAAGATGGAAGCAGGCAGGCTCACAATGAATTAAAATCACTTACAATCACAGATACAGTGACAATGCACTCCCGCAGCCAGCGGCATGCGCGCTTGATCGGTCTGTGACCAGGCAGGCAGAGTGGAGCAGCAGACAGACTAGTCGAAGGAAAGCCACAGTGATGGGGACAACCACCACTGGCTGGGAGGCACAGAAAGACAGAAGAGAAGGAAAGAAACGTGCATGATTTACGCCACCACCCGGGGACAGGGACAAGGACAAGGTCCCTCCAGGATCCATTGCACATACGTACCATTCTGACGGTCGCCAACACCCCAGGCAGCTAAGGAAAGGTGACAAACTCCAAACACCTCAGAGGTAAAATCTACCGTAACTAAAACATGCCTATTGAGGCTTAGGAACTTTCTTCTCCACCCCCTAGCCATGGAGAATGTGGGCTTCTCAAGCCAGAGGATGGGGGGCCCTGTCCTTCACATCATACACTGTGAGCACTGCAGAGCCAGTGATCTCACGGGAAGGACCACCCACCCCACCCCAAACCAAATCAGTCCTTGTCGCATCAGCTCCAACTCCAAGGTTCAGGAGTTTGTGTGTCACGGGAGAACTACGCCCCCTGGAGTTGTCAAGGCCTGGGTTTTTCAGGAGTGGATCCCCAGGCCTTTCTACCAAGGTGTCTCTGGGTGGACCCAAACCAACGAGCTTGGTTAGCAGCTGACTGCATCGAGCATTTGCACCAGTGAGGACCTCTGCAGGAAAGAGTTGTTCTTGCCAGGTGCCATCAACCATAGTGACCCCATGTGCAAGAGAACACAGCACTGCACGGACGTGCACCCTCCTCACCAGGGTGCCTCTGCTTGAGCCCACCAGGGCAGCCTTGCCAGTCCTTCTCTCCGAGGACCTTCCTCGCTTTCACTGCCCTTGACCTTCCCCAGCATGATGCTCTTCTCTAGGGACTGGTCCGTTCTGGCAACATGTCCACAGTACATGAGACGCAGTCTCCCCATCCTGCCCTCTAAGGAGCACCCTGGTCGCACTTCTTCTCAGACAGACTTGTTGGTCCTTTGATCAATCCATGGTGCTTTCAATATTCTTCATCAACTCCACAATGTAAACGCATCGATTCTTTTTCTGTCTTCCTTATTCAATATCCAACTTTCATATGCATATGAGGCAACTGAGAATACCATGGGTTGGGTCAGGCACATTTTAGTCCTCGATGCAGCATCCTTGATTTTTCATGCTCTGAGAGGTCCTATGCAGCAGATTGACCTAATGCAATGCATCTTTAGATTTCTTGACTGCTGCTTTCATGAGCGTTGATTGTGTCCAAGCAAGAGAAAATCATTGATAGCTTCAATCTTTTCCCCAGTTATGATGATGAGACCTATTGGTCCAGTGGTGAGGATTTTGGTCTTCTTTACATTGAGCTGTAACCCATACCAAAGGCCAAAATTCTTGATTTTCATCAGCAAGTGCCTCAAGTCCCCCTCCCTTTCAGCAAGCGAAGTTGTATCATATGCACACCATAGGTTGTTCATAAGCCTTCCTCCAACCCTGATGCCACATTCTTCATATAATCCAGCTTCGCTGATGATTTGCTCACCATACAGCTTGAATAAGTATGGTGAAAAGATTCAGCCCGATGTACACCTTTCCTGATTTTTAAACCCTGCAGCCATCAGTCTCTGGGCACAGCTGCCTCCTGATGCATGTCCAGGTTCCCCAGGAGCACAATGAAGGGTTCTGGAATTCCTACTCTTCTCAAGGTTATCCAGAGTTCATTGTGATCCACATGGTCAAATGCTTTGGAAAGAGTAGCCTATTGAATTATGGGCTACACACAGCCTATGTCCAGATCCTGCTGTGACCTAAGGAATGTCCAGGAACATTGGAGATGCCCAAATCAGTGACCTTTTGGTCTCTCCTCCAGCACCTTGGTTAAGACGCAGGGGACATTGGTTGAATGGGACATCTGTGAGCATAAAGGCTGACTTTTGGTAGCATCACTTGATCTGGTTCCCAGTAGAGGAACTCCAACTGATCCTCTCAGTTTGACTGAACATGTCTTTAAGTGTTAAATCAAAGTCAGAAAGCAAAATACAAAAATGTATTAGGAATAGAGTCAGGTGGTGATTTAAAGGACACCCCTAAGGGCCCTCTACCTAAAAGTACTTCCCCAGAAAATCCACCGCTAGAATTCATTCCTTTTATTTTCTGTTTCTCCAATGAGGTGGTAAGTTCTTTGAGGAAAGGGGCCATTCTAGATATCTGGGTCTTGCTGCTTGCTGCAGTGCTCAATAAATAGTTATTTGCTACTTTGACCAAAAAAAAGCAACACTCCTTTGTGTCAACCTTCCCCTATTTCAAATGGTAAACATGTATGAGAAGGTATCTCCCGTGATTGGGTTCTATCATTCACATCCTATTATGACGTCTAGAACGTGCTCCATTCTTCTGAATATTAAATGAACCTCAGAGCACTGCTGTCTTTGGCAAGAATGGAGAAAAAGCAAAATATCTTAAGATCATAAGTACTACTGGAAAAGGAACTTTGGTGAGAGGTTAAGGCCAGTAAGAAGCTACATTAGAACCAATGGAAGTCTCAAGAGAACCAGGCACCTGTCCCCAGTATTTCCAAGGACTAGCTGTGATCAACAGCAAGTCTGCGAACAACCAATCTTAGGTTACCATTTTTTATGGTAATGTCACTTTTCCTATCTTATTCTGAATGCCACCACTGATAAAGTGCTGCTTGAAGAAACCAATCACAAAGAGAAATTCTGAGAACAAAACTACCCAAAGATAATACATAATTTTTGAGTCATAAATATTACATAAGTTCTGGACGTAATTAAGTAATGTACAGAGCCCCTTAATCATTCCAATGCAAAGCCAAGATATGCAAAGTAGAGAAGAATGAAGGAAAAATATATGGAAAAAGAAAGCTTATATAGCACCAACTCATTCTTTACCAAAATTTCTATGCAAATAGCAATTCAGAGTCTTTTTTAAAAAATTGTCTGATACCAAGGGCGCAAGAAGAAAGCAAATGTTTTGAGAATGTTGGCAATAAATGTACAAATGTGCTTGACACATGGATGGATGGATGGATTGTGATAAGAGTTGTACAAACCCCCAATAAAATGATTTTTGAAATTGTCAAAAACTATCAATATACAAACTTTATTGTTCTTATTTAAGCCAAATCATTTTTATTTTCCAAAAATCGCTTTAAAGATTAGGCTATAATACAGCCCAATCCCATTTTGGAAAAAAGTCTCCAGAGGAAAACACCATTTTTCTTGAATTACTTCATTTTCTGACTTGATTGGTGGTCAAATTAACCTAACGGTGAACTGTGCATGCCGTATCTAACTGTATCAATTAAAATCTAAGCTGACTCTGAACCTTACGCAACACCCCAAGGAGCAAGAATTCGGGTCTCCATTTGGGGATGGTTCACTTCTGGGGAGGTTCACTGTGAGTGTAACAGGAAAGGAGACAGACTGCTCTTCATTGTCTCACGGGGTCACCTACCTGTGCAGAGCTCATCTGGACATATCCCCTCCAGCTAAACTCAGGAAACTGCAGGGCATCAGATCCAAAGCGAACGACTCCCCCTTTCGGGGTGGTACCATCTTCTAGCTCATACTTCATATGATGCAAATCCGGAAAATAGTAGTTGTTTTCAGGTCTTTAATAAACAAAAAGTACATGTTGATGTTCATTAGGCAGCTGAATATCCTTTAATCCAAATCGTTAAAAAAAAAATGTGTTTCAGAATAGAACTGTGCTCCATAGGGTGTTCATGGCTAATTTTTCAGAATGAGCATCAGGGGTATCCTCTGAGGTCCTTCTGGGTAGACTTTAACCTCTAACCTTTCAGTTAGCTGCCAAGCCAAGCCTGTTAACTCCCAGTGGGCACCACCCATGCACGCCTTAATTCCAACTGCTACTGATAAAAGGACCCCCCCCCCAAATTGGCAGAGTGAATTAAATAAAGATGAATGAGAGAGGTCCCCTCCTCTTTTACTAACTTACTGTTTTCACTCAATGTAAACATTCACAGAAAACACACCCCTCACCTACTCATCCCAAGGATTACAATGGGAAACTCCTTGAGCATAGCCCATAGTGACAAAACTCTGCAATATGGTCTAAACAGTTGCCAACAACTTAGAAAAGTCAAATAGGTCATTTAATGTAAGGTCATTATTAATCCATTTAGATACATGCATTCATTCACTCGTTGCACAAGTGTTTCTTGAACACTTATATGCCAGTCACCAGACACCATAGTGAACAGAAAATACTTAATGTGGAAAATTGACGTGTTAGATACATAATTATATGTATATGTAGAACATTTCAATTACTTTTGATGCCTTGTGTTCTTGTTTGTTTTTTAAAAACTAGATACCACTGAATAAATTTTTTCCCTAATAATGATCCTGATATAAAAGGATCAAACACAGTCCAGGGGTTGTGTGGCATTTTATATTTAAATTATTTTTTATATTCAGAATAACACATTTTGATATTGTAGTCATAGCTAAAGCCATAAAGATCGATTAGTTAAAGGAAATAAAAGAGCATGTTTCCTTGCAACTGGGGATGGTTACCCTTCTTTTGGAGGCAAATTATTAAGAGTTTTAAAAATATTTGTACCTGTTAACCCAGTAATTCTACTTCCAGGAATCTATAAAATTGTGCATAGCATCACATAACTAACATAAAAGATTTTATAATAATAAAATCATTGAAACAACATAATGACACGGTAATTATAGAAAAAACTGTATGTCAGAGTAGAACTGTAATAAACGGAAGATGTTTATCTTTTTACTCTTGTGCTTTCTAAAATTTCTACAGTGAATATAAATTATGCTTCCTATGAGACAAATCATTTCGAAAATAAAATGAACTTGAATACTTCTAAACACTTAAGTAAAGCTACAAATGTTAAGATAATATCACAGACAAGTATTGGGATGCCTAAGTACCCCCAAAATGCAACATTTACAAACCTGGAGAAAAGGTGCAGGAGCACATATACGGTTGGGTTATTAACCCTTCTTTATGTTATCATTTGCCTCTAAATCAAAAGATAAGTCCTAAAGTTGAAAGTATATATGTACATACGTATATGAAGGGGCTTCAAAAAGTTCACATAATTGAAAGGCAATGGAATTTTCCATGAACTTTTTGAAGCCCCGTCACTGTCCAGTGTGTATACGTGTGCACACACATACACACACACAGGCATACGCATATGTGTATTTGTAATGTAGAAAGTCAACATGCTTACCCCAGGGTGAGGAATTTCATCTCCATTGGGTTGCATTACTTCAACCCCCAAACTAACCAATCCCTTGCTTCGCTGAAAGGAGACAAACATGCCGAGAGTTGTTGCTGTGATTGTGGTTGTGCTTGTTGTAGGAGCAGTCCGTCAAGGCAGTTGTGCTCCAGAGCGACCCTGGGTCTATAACCGAACAAGACCCGCCGGGCGCAGCCTGCGTCATCCGCACAGTTCTCCCGGTGATTGAGCCCGTGGTTGCAGCCCCGGGGTCCACCCATCGCTTCGAGGGCCTTCCTCTTTGCCGCTGCCCCTCTACTGCACCAAACAGGATGTCCTTTTCCAGGGAGCGGTCCCTCCTGGCAACGTGCGAAGTGCAGGAAATGAACACCATCCTTGCCTCTAAAGAGGATCGTGGCTGTACTCCTTCCACGGCAGTTTTGTGGCTCTTTCGGCAGTCCGCGGTACTTTTCACTCTGCTTTGCCAGCACTGTCACTCAAATGCACCGATTCTTCTTCGGTCGTCCTTGGTCAAGGTCCAACTTTCACATGCATACGAGCCAATTGAAAATCCCACGATTTGGGTCAGGGGCACCCTAATCCTCAAAGTAACATCTTTGCTTGCCAAGACCTTAAAGAAGTCTTCTGCAGGAGATTGACCCAATGCGAGGCACCAGCTGATCTCCGACTGCTGTGCTTCCACGGGCGCGACTATGGATTCAAGCAAGATGAAATCCTTGACAGCTTCCGCCTCTCCTCCACTTATCATGGTCTGGTCTACTTCCATCGCGGTGCAGTCCACAGGCTGCGCTCCTTGATCTTCATCAGCCAGTACCTCAAGTCCTCCTCTCTTTCAGCAAGCAAGGTTGTATCATCTACGTATCACAGGTTGTTAATAAGCCTTCCTTCAATGCTGGTGCTGCAATCCTCTCCCTACAAGCCAGTTTCTCTGATGATTTACTCACCATACAGCGTGGATAAGTATGGTAAGAGGATACAACCCTTGATGCACACCTTTCTTGATTTGAAGCCATGCTGATAAAGGTGGGGGTGGGGGGAGCATACTTTTATTTATTTAACTGTCGCTTTACCAGCCTAAGTTTGGAGAGATAAGCCATCGGCACAAATGGCTTATGGACCTATTTAAGAAGTTCCTCTGGTCTCCCATGAACTTGGCTAGTCTTAAAGAAAACCCGTCTATAGATGTGTTCCTCTTCCCATACCTTCTACTGCGTGTAGCGCTGTTGCCATACTTGCTGCTTCCTCGCCATCCCTTTGAGGTCTCGTGTCCACTTTGTTCTCTGACTCCTACAGTTCACTGAAACTTGCTGTGTATGAAACAAGGGACTGCTTTCCCCATCACACAGTTTTTAATCCCTTCCCCAGGTCGCACACCTGTCCTTTCTCAGACCCCTCACTCACGGCCCTGAGGGAGAAGTAGGAACTGAGCCTCTTTGGCATGGTGAACACACCTCTCCTTACTGCCCTTCTCTGCAGGCCAGTCCATCGGCTTTGCTCTCTTGGGCTTTGACTTGTACACAGAAATTCTGCCCTGTGAACCCACCCCAGTGCTTCCTGGTCTCTTCTCACTTATCTGGGCTATTGTACCTGTACCACAGTTCAGGGGCAACCTTCCGTGACCTATGACATGGAACTGGCTTTTGTGGGCAACAATACTTCATGTTTCAACCAGGCTTAGAGATAAGTGTCCAGATTTCAAATTATGGCGCAGCGTCCCCTCCCCCTCTGTCCTTAGCACTGTCCGCAGAGACCGGAAGGAATATCTAAAGTAGTCTTCCACAACATTAACCCAAAGCTCAGGAATCCCTAAAGACTCACCGCTGGCAGGCCTTCCCCACAACGTGCTGCCGGCATCTGCATTCCCCAGAGGTTCTGTTGCACAAGGGTGTCAGAGCACCCCCAATGTCACACTGACACCCTAAAAGTCAGAAAACAGCAGCGGTTAGCCGTCACACCATCTTTATGGGTTGAGTTATACCCCGGAGAATAGAAATGTCCAAGGCCTAACCTACAACCAGTGAATTTGACCTAATTTTTACATCGCAGCTTTGTGCATGTAATTGGTTGTCCAAACAGTGTAAGGCAGGCCTTCCTGTTTGAAGCCATTCTCTCTGTGGTAATTTTCTAGAGCCTGATCACAAGGTGTCGAAGGGACCAGGTATCAGGCATCAAAGAATAAAAAACTTATCATTGTGAATGAGGAGGAGTGAGGAGTGGGGACCCAAAGCCCATCTGTAGGCAACTGGACATCCCCTTACAGAAGGATCTCAGGGACGAAATGAGCCAGTCAGGGTGCAGTATAGCAATGATGAAACATACAACTTTCCTCTAGTTCCTAAATGCTTCCTCCCCCCACTATCATGATCCCAATTCTACCTTACAAATCTGGCTATACCAGAGGAGGTACACTGGTACAGATAGGAACTGAAAACACAGGGAATCCAGGACAGATGATCCCTTCAGGACCAGTAGTCACAGTGGTGATACCAGGAGGGTGGTGGGAAGGTGGGGGAACCAATTACAAGGATCTACATATAACCCCCTCCCTGGGAGATGGACAACAGAAGAGTGGGTAAAGGGAGACATAGGACAGTGTGAGACATAATGAAATAATAATAATTTATAAATTATCAAGGGTTCATGAGGGAGGGGAGTGGGGAGGGAGGGGAAAAATGAGGAGCTGATACCAAGGGCTCAAGTAGAAAGAAAATGTTTTGAGAATGATGATGGCAACAAATGTACAAATGTGCTTGACACAATGGATGGATGGATGGATTGTGATAAGAGTTGTACAAGCCCCCAATAAAATGACTTAAAAATGTTTGCTATCGCCTGAAAAGACTAATACAGCGTCTCCCCGGCCCCCAGTGCTAAATTCTTTCCTTCCCTCTAGAAGAAGAGACCACCAACAATCCCTTCGCTGCATACGTCGCCTTTCCTCTGCCACAGCTGACATCAGACAGGGACGTGCAATACTTAAGAACGCCCCACATGGAAACAGTGTCCCTCCACCAGTCAGCTTGTAAGCTGGCCATATGCTACTGAAGCACGCGGAAACCCTCGTGTCCAATCCTGAGGTGACAGAAATAGAGTCCTGTTAGCAAGACTGTGTGCAAAGGAGCAAAGGCTAAAAAGACAGACTGGTGGGGCCCCTGTCCTGCACTCTTATTATTTCACGCAACATTATTCCTAAGAAAAATTATGAAATTAACAGCTGTCCTCCCCTTTCTCGACGCTCATTCCTTAACAGAAAAGCCACCGTAGGCGGTGAGGTAGAAGCAGTCCACGTGCAACTTATTGCTAATTTCAACTAAAGTGTTAGCCAGATTCCCTGAGTCGGATTTTTCAGTGCCATCCTCCCCACTTCCACCACGCCGCCCAGATGGTCCTGCATGAAGATAATGAACAAAGAAAGAAATAAGCTATCTGGCCGTCTTTGTCCAGCCACGTTTGTGTTTAACAGAGCCACCTACAGGTATTTACCTTGACATCCAAAGTAACTGTCATTTTGCAAAGCAAAATATCCATCTTCGCAGGTGGCACAGGAACGACCGCGGACATGGGGTTTGCAGTGGCAGTCACCATTTATCTGCAGGACGAGCCAAGTGATCAAAGTTGATACAGCACAGAACTCTCTCATCGTCAAGCCTTAAAACTGGCGGTGTCTAATGGGAAGCAGTGGCAGCCAGGAGCACTACGCATCCTGCACTGGTGTTAGCTGCAGTGGACTTGGCCCCAACTCATGGAGACCACCGTGCATAATGGAACGAAGGAACCCTGCTAGACCCCACACCACCCTCAGGACTGGCTATGCATCAGTGGGGTACATGTATAATCATTGGTCAATTTGAGGATTAAGAGTGTAGGGGTGGAGTCTAGCTTGTCAATCAGATCATAGCCAAGGAGGCCTCTGTATGGGCATGGCCTTCGCCTGAGAATTCTGAGAAATCTGGTACTTCCTCATTGGAGGCGGGAGACACTGCTCTCTCTCTGCCACTCCCTGGGAGACATTTCAGCTGACAAGACACATGGAAGTGTGCTAGTGCCCTAAGTTGGAGAAGCCACATGGACCTACCTTGATGCAACCAGACTTCTGAAACTGAAGAAGCCATGTAGAGACCCCTGCCAGCACTGAGATGCTTACAATGACACTGGACCCAAAGACTTTCTATCCACTGGCCTGTGATCATCCTGCATTTGGCTTCACTGCATGTGTTTTATGAGTCTAAAGAGGACTTTATAGATTGGTATCTGACATATGGGCTAATATCAGACTTATGGCCTTGGACTGGACTGGGTTGGGATGTTTTCTTAATGGACAGTTGCTCTTGTATATAAACCTCTTCCTTATATGCCTATGAGTGTCTCCATGAATTTGTTTCTCTAGTCTACCCAGACTAACATAATCAGACCACGGTGATCCGTAGGGTTTTCCTGAGCGTTTTCCCATGGCTACCTTACTCGGAAATCTCCATGGAAACTGGTAGAACATCTTAGCAGCATGGCAAGCCTCCACGGACATGGGGTGTCGGCGCATGAGCGGCTTTAGCTGAGATGTGGACCCAGTCTCCCCATGGAAGGTGAGGATGCTACCATTGTGCCATCGCTGCCCCCAAACCCACCCCATTACATAAAGTCAGCTAATTCCGATTCACAGTGACTCCATCGGACAGGTTTCCAGGACTGTAAATCTTTACAGGAGTAGAAAGCCTCCTCTCTCTCCTGCAGAGCAACTGGTGGTTTTGAACAGAAGACCTTGAGGCAAACAGCCAGTGCGTAACCCACCAGGACACTTCATCTTCCAATTAGAGAGGTACTGATAAACTCCCGCTGCAAGTCCACAATCAACCGCTACCACATGCTCCTGTTACCATAGGAAAACTCAGCCCACTTACCTGCCCGCACTCTCCAGTTTCACTTACGGTCCCCGCCACGTTGCACTGGCATTCTGTGGAGATAACCCAGCATTACACAAGGACAGTCCCCATCCCTGGGCACATTGCTCACCTGAAATCCTACACACTGGCTAGCACACCTCAGCAGAGCTGCAGTTTGTACCACGGAGGCCTATTCTTGGAATGCTTTCGGTAGTCAGCAGGACAGACAGATCAATACCATTCGCCCACTAAGAGCAATTGCTCACGTATGGTCACTCCGAGATCAAAGCTGCAACATCATGAAATTTTACGTGGTCTCTAGCACCAAGGTCATCACTGATATGCTGGACTTGGCAACAGACTCTCTGCCTAAGCTGATTCACTCAGCTCAGCAGCTTAAGTTCTGTTTCAGCAGAAGCCCACACGAAAATTAAAGGAGGATGGGGTCTAATAACAAAGAGGCAACTTCCTTAGCAAATGACAAAATACATGTGGACACAGGATATAAATCCCGTATTGAGATTTTGGAAATGACAGAAGTTCTGCCAAAGGTGGGAATATATATGTTTAGATGAAGTCACATGGAATTTCAGAAACATGGAATTGACTCAATACATAGCTCTTTAGGGGGGCAAGTAGACACTGAAGAAGGTACAATATGGTCAATGATGGTGGACAGGAACCCTTACCTGAACATCCTTCGGGGTTTGCTGTGGCCAGATTCCAGTACAAAGGTTTGCAGAGGTGGCAAGTCGAACCTTCAACGTGAAGCTTGCATTGGCAAAACCCCTTTGAATGAAAGTCAAACTCACATTGGACATTTTGGAAATAAGGCGTGTTTTTAAGCAGGGTTTCTGAGCGAAGACTTGTCACAGAAATAAATTTTGCACATGAAAATAAATTAAGTGTACCAGAGGGGTTAAACGTCTTGGATAGATTTCAACAGCATGTTTATGCCTTTTTCGTTTTTCCATCTCTTTGTTACACACATGATCCACAAAATGAGAACACGTGGGAACCGAAAACCTGAAAAACACCCTGATTTTCAATATTGCCAGATTCTGTTGATCGTGTTAATCAATTGGGGACAATATCTGGATACTTCATATCTTGAGGATCAAACAATAATTAGGTTTATCTGGGGGGGGGGTGTCCACCGGTGGTAGAGACAGTTAATGTACTCAGCTGCTAACTGGGAGGTTCAAATCCACCCGGAGGCTCCTTGGGAATAAGGTGTGGTGATTTATGCCTGAAAAATGAGTCATTGAAAACCAATGGAGCCTTCAGGGTCATCTAGACCCAGGAACCAAACACGGTACCTGAAGACAGTGCTTGGCACCGAGTTTGCCGAGTGGCAATCTGCAGTCTCAAACTCTGGGGAGGGGAAGCTAAAATACTGCTATTGCTCTCTGCTCTGCTGCTGCAGAGGGTGAGGAAAACCAGAGTCAGAAACCGATGAGTCCACAGCACTAGTGGCCCCATGAACCCTGGTTTTCTCTCGCTTGAAACCAGAAGAGCTAAGTAGTCTCTGGCTACCACTGCTGACCACTTCGATGTAACAGAAGGTCTCGGTTAGGATGGGAGAAAAATGTAGAACAAAACTCAAGTTCATTAAGTAAAGAAAACTAGACTTGCTGGGCTGATAGATCCTGGAGGAGCCCCCAAACTACAACCTTCAGTCACCTTGCTAATGTGGAACTGAACACATTCCTGGAGGCCACCTGTCCACCAACACACAAACTGACCTGAAAAATAGACACTTGTGAGTGTCAGTCATATGCTCCTTAGAACAATCAATTACATGTGACCAAAGGGCAACATTTACCCCCAAGCCCAGATAAAAAGCCCGGAAGGGGCATGGGTGCCAACAACGGGGAGAGGGCACCTAGGGTAGACAAGGGAGGGTATTGACTGTCATCACTGTCACAGAACCATTTGTGTATAAATGATTGGATGGAAAATGAATTTGCTGTGGGAACTTTCACCTAAAGCACAATCACATGTTCAACTGGAATGCCCCCCCCCCCGCCCCCCCAATTCTATGGAGCACGGTTCTGGCACACACAGTTCACACACACACACACACACACACACACACACACACACACACACACGTGTCAGAATCAATTCAATGGCAACTTGTAGGGTGGTGGTGCAAGATTCACTGTTTTGCTTTAATAGGGGGAATCTTCCCAGCAGATTACAGACCTTCTCTCCCCACTAACCTACCCAGGGCCTGGGGTGTTTGTTCAACCTCTCTAGACTCTGAGGCCAGGTAAACGTTAAGTTTTATAGCTCTTTGAAAATTATTCAACGTACAAGGACCAGAGTATGGTACTTGGAGTAACAGTAAATACTCGTACTTGTTTGGGACACAGCTTCAATTCATGCATAGCTGGACTTTGATTTTCTTCATTGTGTTAACTCTGTGGCTAGGATGAGCTTATGGGCAGGCTTCCTGGGAGCCATGCCTGCAGACTAAGCGGCAGGGAGAGCAGGACGCTGCTGTTTTCCATAGGTTCACTCCGAGTCAGAATCCACTTGATGGCTATGGGCTTAGAGGTCTTCTTAGTGGCCATCAGGACTTCTCCGACTCATGGCGATCTTATGTGTAACAGGGTGACTTGTCACCAGGCCAGCACTATATTGGGCCACATTCTATTGGGATCTGTTGGGTCTTCATGGGCAGATTTAGGCTGACTCTCTGGAAACTCAGTTGAAAGCTATCCACCCCGGGTGACAGGCTGGTATTTGAAATACCCACAGTAGAACTTCTATCACCATCGCAAAACACAAGCCACCTGGCCTGACACACCGGCAGACAGGTGGTGGAAAGTTCGACTAAACATGACATCTCCAGAATAAAGGTTTAAATCAAGGGTCCTCAAACTTTTTAAACAGGGGGCCAGTTCACTGTCCCTCAGACCTGTTGGAGAGCCAGACTATAGTTAAAAAAAAAAAACCTATGAACAAATTCCTATGCACACTGCACATATCTTATTTTGAAGTAAAAAACAAAATGGGGCAAAAACACCCAGCAGGCCGGATAAACGTCCTTGCCCGGCAGCATGTGGCCTGCGGGCCGTAGTTTGAGGACCCCTGGTTTAAATGATCCTTACAGGGGGCTTCAAGGGGCTTGAGGATAGATGGAATTTTCAAAGTAGTGGAATGTTTCAACAAACCTCTATTTTTAAAAACCAGACAAAGGTTATATGTGGGCTTTCAAATTAAACACCTACCTTCTCAAAGAGATTGGGCATCACATCTTATTTTAATTTACTGTGAATTTAAAGAAGGGCCCAAATATGATAGCCTTTCCCAAGTATCAACACAGTAGTTAGAAGTTCAAGCCTTCTAGAATGTTCCACTTACCAAACTGGACTCAGCGGTGCCGGCGGCATCACAGTAACTGCTGGAGCCTGTGGAGGTAGAACTGGTTTAAACGTGGACGGAAGGGGAGTGTGTTTCCTTGTCTCTTCTCTGTTTCTTTTGCTGTTTTGCATTTTTATAATTGTTCTTGTCTTTTTAAAAAATAGGACGTGTTCGGTGTATATTTCTGATAGATGAGTGGCAAGGACTGTGCATGTGATTCTTAGGAAAGGACCCCAAATGTATTCCTGATGTTCAATCCCCAAATCATCCCTTTGGCCACTGAACCACTCTGGCAGCTAACCACAAGGTCAACATTTCAAAACCACCAGCCATGTTGGGGGAGAAGGATGAGGCTTTCACCTTCCATAAAGAGTTACAGCCTCAGAAACCCACCAGGGCAGATCTATCCTGTCCTACAGGGTTTTCAGGAGTAAGAACCCACTCAATGGCAGTGAGTTGTAAATGTAGATTCCACAATTTTGATGTCTCAAATTTTTTCCAGCAGAGGGCAACATTGGACCAAGAGATATTTTAATGGGCCATTGTACACTATACAGTGCCAATCCGTCCAATCCAGATGAGCTGAGCACTTAACACCCTCCAAACTCATGGCCATCCGCCCATTCCACCTCACGGGGGCCGACTGGACGGAGGAGAACTGCCCGAAAGCCGCATCTTTCTCCCTCACTGCCCACTCTGCCACCAGGCCTGATGGTACCCGTTGGTTGGTATGTAACTGTAGGTGCATAATTGACGGGAGAGCGATGCTGGACGTGGTTGGGGAACGCACCCCACTTGCCTCCTCCCTCCTCAAGCTTCAGGATCCTGCTTGGTTAAGTGGGTGAAGGAGTAGATTCATGGGCGGAGAGAACATCTTCAGAGCCCCCACCCATGTTCCCTTCCCACTGGGTCAAGTTCCCACCAGTCCATGTGGCTCAACAGCCCCCTCCCCTGCCCTCCCCGGGACTAGCACCCTCTGTTCCTCTCCCGTTTGCACCACAAGGGCCCTGCTACTGGGGAGGAGTGAGTACTATGAATGGTTAGACTGAACTCAAGCGAACTGTCTTCCTGCCTCAGTCTGATCTCCGCCGGGTAGAGCTCAGTAGTGATGTGTCAGGGATTCATCTGTAGCAAAGGCTGTGGCACCACTGGACAGCTGGGCAATCAGGGGCAAGCTGCCTGGGCTCTACCAGTCCCCATTTCCTCTCTGGTAAACAGAAGCTGGGGCTCTCTCCCATGATGCCACACTGCATAAACGGAATCCAGGGGAGACTGCTTCTGCCTTCCAAAGCAATAATGGGGGGGATACAGCAAGAAATACAACTTGTTTGCAAAAAATGAGCAAAAAACCTCGTGCTCATTGGAGCTGGGGAAAGGAAAAGCTTCCGAAGGTCATGCACCAAGTTCAATTCCAGTGATGTATGTGCAGGAGTCACGTAGACCTGTCCCTGCTCCCATCATGAAGGCTGGGCTGGGTGGCAGGGAGGGGACCAGGGACTTCTGTATCCTGACAGGACTGAGTCTGACCCACGTGCTAACAATAACACAAGTGTTCACCTGGCTTGTCATTGGGAGCATAGTAACAACTCTGGAAGATGGGAGGCAACTGAGAATGTTTTCTCCTTTACAAAGGACCTGGGACTTGACGGAACTTTTAACTCTCTCAGAAAGTGGCGGACCCAGAGGACCTACCACCATCCCACCTCCTCTGTGAAAGCCGCCCCACAGACATGTCTTTAAGGCCACTGCATTCATGGCAGGAGCCCTGGGGGTTACGAGTCGGGCTGATCCCTAAAAGATCATCAGTTCAAAGCCACCAGCTACTTCGGCGGAGAAAGATGACGCTTTCTGCTTCCTGAAAGATGTACAGTCTCAGAAGCACAGTTTAACCCTGTCCTAGGGTCGCCGTGCCTTGGAATCAACTCAATGGCGGTGAGTTTGGTTTGGTTTTGAATATTCCTGGCACAGGAACCTGGCGCTGGATTGCAAACACACGGGCCGCTCTGAGGGAGAAGATCAGAGCTATCTGCTCCCATAAAGATCCACAGTCTCAGCCCCTGCATTGGATGTATCGACTGGATGACACTGGGCTTCGTTTTCTGGCATAATGGCTAGGTGTTGTGTGGTCGTAAATAATAAACATTTTAAAGTATGTTCCCTGAACTCGAGGAGGGCCACATCCAAAAGAGACACGAGCGAGAGATTTCTGATGTACTATGAAGCCCCCTGGCCCCAAGAAACTAAGCATGAGGGAGATGAAGAAGCCACAGGTTCCGCCTCTGTTACCTGGGCATAAGGTCAAAGGCGTCTATAGAAAATCCAGGGAGTGCTTGTCAAACAACAGGGTAAGACTCGATTGCCTGCAGCAGAGCTCCTGTCCTGGTCCAAGCCTCTTGGACTCTTCCTGCTGGTGCTGCTCGAAGGACACTATTTCAGAGAGGAACGCCTGGTCACTCACCAAGGCAGTCGGGATAGTTGTAGAAGCCCGGGGCGCACTGGCTGCAGGTCCGGCCGGTGTAATGGGGGCGACAGCGACACTGGCCCGTCTGATCACAGGTGTTGTCCAGGGCGCCCCAGGGGTTGCAGTCACACTCTGGGGAGGAAAACAGAGGCCCAGCCTTACAGTCATGCACGTATGTGGAAAACCGTGAATTTCTCCATCTGGCCTGGTGCCTCTGTATCGATCCAGCTCGCCCGGAGAGCCGCCAAATCCCAACTCAAACCCAACCGTGGCCGCTCTCCTCTCCTCCCTGGAAACACTCTGAGGCTTTAAGAAGTGTTCCCGGCTGCGCTTTGTATTGTTGCTGGGCCTTTGCGGTTTCTGTTGTTGACATCTTCCCACTGGCTCCTCAAACGTGTCTAGGTTATGACACCCTGATGGATGGCAAAGGTCCGTGGGGAGAGAGAGCTTGTCTGTCGCATGTCCCTCCATCTTCCAGCATCAAGTAGAGGCTGTCCGTGTTCCTGGCCATTGAGTCACTTCCAACTCCTGCACGTGAACTGGGCTGGACTTACCCCCTCCTATCACCCGGTGAGCCCCTCCTGGATAGGAATCCCTTCCTGGCAACATACACAGACAGGTGCGGCTGGCTGTGCTGCCTGAGAGGACCCAGTCTAACACAGTCACCGCAGGTGGTACAGCCCCGGCACCTCGGGACCTGCCTGGCTGTCCACTGAAGGGAAGCCGGCGGCCAGGCCTTTCCTTCTGCAGTGCCCTCAAGTGTGCTCGCAACGCCAACCTTGAGATCAGTGCCTGTCACACCAACCTTCTGTGCAGCCTGAGGCCCTCAGCCCTTGTCCACACTGAACAACGGTGTGGAATGAAAGGTGGGATCATTATGGACTGCCTCCTCTGGATCCAGCCCTGGAGAGGAACTTGATCGATTTCTCTCCCTTACAGGAGACAGTCTTACTGAGAACAAGGTCATCGTCTGTCTGTCGGCGGAAGGACAGCTCAGGGAGTGAGACAACACTGTTGACAGCAGGCAGATTGCAAGTTTAAAAGGCCTCCTTATTAGGAAAGGGGGCTCTTTTTGCTTCTGATTTCAGGGGCTTTGTCTTTCTGCTGGAAAGGCAGGCTGGCCCCTGGGTTAGTCAAAGCCACAACACCGTCAGTCAGTTTCACAAGACTCGCCACAGCCTACTCCTCTGTCGCCTGGGCCTAAGGTAACTGAAATCTGCAGAAAACCCCAAGCCTATGTTCAAACAATAACCTCAATATTCTCCTACGGAAGCATTGGGCCTGTGCTGCACTGCTCTTCAGACTGTGCCCCTGCCAACCTCTCTCTGGATGG